GCCCCAAGCCGCCCGTAGCCCCGCGGGAGGATGTCGGAGGATCACGAGATGGACAAGATGATCAAGGTAGGCAGGAGGCAGCGGCCGTCGGGGTCGCCCCGTCGCCGGCCCCCGCCTCGTCCCCTGCCCTGCGAGGGGAGGTGGGCAGCCCCGGCAAGGGCCCGGCGGGTCCCCGTCGCCCCCCGCTGCTCTTACGGCTGCGGCCCTGCTCCTCGCTGCCCTTCCGTCGGAGCCCGGCTGCCTTCGGGTTCGTCACCTGCAGCGCTTCGGTGTGGAGCGCCAGAGACCGGGCAGGGGAAACAGGAGGTGCAGGCAGGCGGCTTCCAGGGGATCCGGCCTTGGGGGATCGGTGTTGGGAGGCTGAGACTGCGGGGAGCAGAACCGGGGCTACTCGGGGCGGCGGGGAGCTGGGGTCTCTGCCTCAGAGCAGTCCCTGGCTGCGGAGGCAACGCTGTTGCCTCGATCCGTCTCCTGAGTTCGTGTTCGGATGCTGTCATGAAAACAAATCTGGCGTGTGGGATGTTTGTGTTTCGAGTGGTGGTGGAGGAGCTGAACAGATTCAGGATTTCTTTTTTTATGGTGAGAATCAGTGTGTGAGCTTAGCATTTCCTGGTGAATCCTTCTGTGACCTGGCTGAGCGGATTTCCTGAAGAAGCTGGGGAAACCCCTCTGAGATAAAGTCACAGTAAAACAATGTTTTAAAGACTCTCTGCAGGCTCTTTACCTTGTGCAAAGCATTGGCTGTCACAGATTCTGTATGGCTTTGTAAATACTTATTTCAATAAAATGAATGAATTCCTTAAGGATGTAGGTAAAAAGATCCCATGTATTGGCATTTGCTGCCTTTCCTTAGCCCTGCTGTCTGCCACAGTGGGATTTGTCTTTACAAAGCTCATTGGGGGCAAAAATCAATGCAAGAGAAACAGCACCACAGTCTTGTGGTGTTGAAATCTGGATTGATTTAAAATACGTGGGTCTTGCCTTTTGAACTAAAAAAGCCCAAGTAGAAGGAAGTCTAAGCACTGTGTTCAGGGAACCCAGATTGTAATTAAACTACGAGATCAAGTATTGAAGTTGTATGCTGTCTCTTCCTGCTTCGTTATCATCTTGGCACAGTGCAGGTGAAGTAGCTATACAGAAGGCTTTCAGAAAGAACATTATTCAAGTATTTCTGTGGTATTTTGTGTGAAGGTAAAGATCTACATCAGAGCTCTTGGGGGTTACAAACAGAACAAAAGCTCCAAAGCCGTTGTGTAAGTGTGGGGACAGTCTGCATCTGCCTCCTGCCCCTCTCCGTTTGGAGGGATTCTGACCAAGAACAGATTCTGGGCAAATCTTTTGCATCATAGGCATTGTCTGAATCTAAAACTTAATTTAGTACTTTTATATATTATGCTCATTTCTCTGCTTCTCAAATGCTTGGTTATTTTTCAAGTTTGATTGGTTTTCACCTGCGTCTGCAGGTTTAAGGTCTGTGGTTCAAGATAGTGATCGCTGTTTAAGGCAAACTAGCTGAAGTTGAGAGGCTGTGTGTTGGAGCAGTGGAGGTGGAGTTACACTGATTGTCGGCATGTCACTTGTTGACTATGTGGACTTTGTCCATGAAGCAGTCTGTATACTTTTAATTGACTGTAGTGAGTATGCGTTATTCTTGAAGTACCTTATTTCAAACCTTCTCCCATTGGTATTCAGTGGAAACTGAGAAGCGCCTGAGCTTTCCCCCGAGCAGTCCCGATGCACATCTAACCCTGTCTGAAAGCAGCTTGCTGAAGACCAAGCTGGGAGAAATCTGAGAGTCCTGTCTTTCCAGGCTGTTAGTATCCCAGACTGCTGACTCTGCATGGGAGGATGCTCAAACCGTTGTTTTAGATACCCTGAGCTTGCTGAAAGGGAATTGTGCTATTGAAAAGAACTCAACTCTTAAAGTTTGTGTGAGACTTTTTTGTAATTGAATACATTTCAAATTTGTTTATTCCCTTTGCCCACTGGAAACTAATGTAAGGAATGATCAGAAGTTTAAAGTTCCTTTAACAGTAGGAGCAAAAAGGTTTACTGTAAGAAATTGCACCACTGCAGATTTTTTTTGAAAGCGCTCTCTCCGGCACTCTGCCTCCTCTGTTCCCAGCCACAGCAGATTAGTTCCAGCTGACCTGTCAGCCGGTCTACAAGTTCAGTGCTGTGCAGCAGTGCTACTGTAAGGCAGTTTATTCTCCAGATGTGGAGCTAAGTACAGGATACCGTAACCTCTGCTGCCTGCACCCACAGTACGTTAATCTAAATTAAGAGGCAAGGTATTTAGCCTTACCTGTTGAAGTAGATTTGGATATTTTCAGAGGGCATTTTTATATCTGTACATTTTAAATATTTAATGCTGTTTGAATGTTATGAACTTGTGTTGATTTGCAGCTACGTAGTCTTGGTTGCTAGATTTGGAGCTCCTATTTCTGAACTAGGAGATGTAAGCAATTCTGTACATTGATGGACAGTAAAGTTCTCAAATACTGTATTTCATATCATTGGGAAATGGTGAATAGTGTTTCTGGATCACTAGATTATTCATTTTTACTTCTAAGTTTTAAAGCTGCTTTGGAATGAAGATTGGAATCCAAATGAAAATGCAGAAAACAAAAATGTTGGCTTTTTTAGTTAAAACAATGGTAAATATGCAGAATATGAAAGAGGAAACACGTTTTTATTAAAAGTAGACTTATTTGTAGTTGTTGAACTTGTCCTTCAGGAGTTAAGAACTATCAGATCTTATTCTCACTTCATTTAATTCATAGATCACAGACTTTCCAATTCCTAATCAGCTCCTCTGTTCCACTTACTCAGCTGAAATGAAGCAAATGGTCTCTGTGCCATCACAGAAGTGGCAGCAGATAGCAGGAACTGTTTATGTATGTGGAGACAGTATCTCTTTTTTAGACCAACGTGTGCAGTTGAAAGGGTTAGGTAAGTTTTGGGGCAGGCAGGCCCTTCTTCGGTTTTGGAACAGGAGCAGCAGACTTCAAAGTGCTATAAAAGATGACGAAGGATTGTAATCACTTAATCACGCTGGTGCTCCAGAGTACTTTGGCGTTTGCTTCTCCATTTCAGTGGTTTGACTTCACAACTTAAACACTAAGCATGATCTTGAAAGCATGTTCTGAGGAGGTACTCCTCAGTTCAGAGAAACCCTTTCTCTGCTCATTAACGCTCTTCTAAAATTGTGTTTTCATTCCACCTATGATGCCTTCAATTATCTGTATCTGAATATCAAGAAAATTAAATTCGCTTTTCCCTAATATGCTTCTCACAAGTGAAATTTATGTTAGTTAAATTGATAAGAAAGTTTTTTTTGTGCTTCTACTTGAAAACAACAAACCATGTCTGATCCACTATGCTGCTCTTCTGCTTTCTTTTAAAACCCTTCATAAAACCTCCAGTTCAAAGTTAACTTTAACTTTTTCCTTTATGTCTCTCACGCTAGTCATTTATGATTTATGTGATACCCACTCCAGACTGTGTTAAAAGGCAGTTTTTCCTTTCATATCTGTCTTTTGCATTCTCTAATCCCTTCAAATCTCACCTTAAATATCAGCTTTCCTTTCTTGCTTTGTTTTCAATCCATGTGGTGTGAGGGCTGGCTCCAGCCTGGCAATAGTGTTCATCCATGACTATTGCAGCGGAGGCCAATGATCCCAGGTTAGGGACTGCCATTTTCAATCCCTTAGCTGTTCTCAGTTTTCTCGTGATTTGTAGCATGAGTGAATCCTGAAATGCTGCAGGTTTTGAATGGAAGTTAACAGAAGGGGCAAATCTGATCAGAATAAAGTTGCTTTGCAAGCAGTAGACTCTTCCATTTGCTTGCAGTGTATTTGGGAAGTATTTTACCTGTTTGCTTAAGCTTCTCTGATGCTAGCTTTTGTTACCAGCTCCTTTTCTCGCAATTTATCAGAAAGCCATGCTTTCTGAAAGATGAACCTGAATGTAGGTAGCAATGTTCGTAAAAGAACAAAGGCAGAATTTTATGGTGTGTATTACTCAGTGACTTGAGTTTGCACACAACCTTTTCCACCGTTCAGCCCTGCTCTGTTGTTAGATCACCATCTGTGTAACAGCACATGGCAGCGGCATTAATCAAAATGCTGCGCGCCGACGCTACGTTTACATCCCGCCTTGTGACATGTTTAAGCATGATAGCAGCCAAGCTGTGTCATAACAAAACCAAACCCTGCTTATATGGATTTGGACAAAAGGATTATAAACATGAGCCTGGTTCATTATCAGACAAGCTAAAACTAGTCATGCAGGGTTTAATTTACAGTATAATGATTCCAAAGGTTTGAAAACCCTAAGAAAGCAGCAAAATCATTTTCCTTTGTACCATATGACCAAAAAATACATAATAATGCTGAAATTAGGCCTTTGTGTTCAATTGTGATTGATCATTTCTAGGTAGGAAGCTGGATTTAAGAGTTGGGGGGAAGTGCCCTTGGTATGCTTTCTGTATTAAAGGCGTGAGATCCCATTTACTGTTCTCAATAATCCTGTTTCAAAATGCCAAGGTGAGCAGTCTCAGCTGCACAGAAATAATTTTAAACTGAGATATATTATTATGTGAGCATTTGTATTTATGTTTAATTTTCCTAGGCAAAGCAAAACTCCAAAGTAGGCTCTTTTCTCTGCTCAGGTATCTTGCAAATCAGGTCTGCTGAGCTGGTTTTTTTTGGAAGGGATGTAGTAATTTTTTTTTTTAAATTTTTTTTTTTACACTCTCTTTCCCCTCCCCCTGCTCCTTCTTGAATAGGAAACCTCCATTTTAGAGGAGTACAACATTAATTGGACTCAGAAGCTGGGAGCTGGGATCAGTGGTCCTGTTAGGTAAGACAATACACCTGCAGATTTTGTATGTAATCTCAACCTGTTCCATTAACTGTGGAGAAGTGAGTATGTATTTTAAGTGTGATAACAGCAGAGTGATGTGATGTGTGGAAGACTCTCTTTATAAACAAATAAATGTGTCTACTCCATGGGGGTTGTAGCTCATGTGCAAGTGAGGTATTGTGTTTTATGGGGTATGTTTGAAGTAAAAACTCTCCTCACCTCTCTGCCTTGTCCCGTCTCACTGCCATATTCCTGAAGCAAAGCGGGAACAGGAGTTGGTTGTGAAACAGTGGCAGCAGAAAATTGTCCTCAAACACCTTTGTCCTTTTGATACTAGTGTCAGTGCAGTGCAAAGGTCGCTGCTCCCGTCTACGGTATCATCATTTGGGGCATCAGCACTGCATGCCCGTTAGCTATTTTTACCAGCTATTTTTTCAGATCATCATGTGAGACCAAAGCAGATAGTGCCATGAGCTCTGCATCTCAAACCAGACTTGCCCGTCATGAATTTCTAACCCCTGCAGGAACTGGATGCTTTCTGTAAAGCAAAACATATATTCCCTTTTCAACAAGCACTCTCCCTTTTGGGAGCGGGAATTTGTGCACAAGCACTAGAAAACAAATGTCTGCACCTCTCTGTTTCTGGGCGCTTGACAGGGCGATTGTCTCTTGCCACCATTTATCTTCCTGTCCAGGCAATTGGTTTCTCCTCATCCATTTTGTGTTGCCGTGTTCCTCTGATTATATTAAAATATCCCTTTGTGCTTTATTCTTTTAGCTGCCTGTTAATATGTAGGCCCTTACTGACGCAGTTCAATTGTTAATGTTAAATGGGGGAAAGAGAGAAAAAAACAGTGCAGCACAGTTGGTGGCCTTGCCAAAACAAGGATTTCCATTCAGAAACACTTTATTTGTTGCAGACTACACCCTCCATTGGAGGTGTTCAGGCTGCCACTGTGTGGTTTGGGTTTTTTCATCAAAAGCGTCTCTTCAGGCTGAATGTATAGAGTGCGTTCTCCTTGTCTGCAGTTAGCCATTGCTCTGAAGTACTACTTCTGCATTGCTGAAAATATAACTTGGTGTGAGGTGTTTCTATGCAATGTATTTGATTGTTGTGCAAGGCTGAAAACTGAGGCTTTCAAGCTGGGACGTGGTGACAGGTGCCCTGTATATTCCAGATTGCAGGCATTCTTGTTAATTCCAGTGTGGAAAGCAAACTCGTAACTACAGATCAATTGTTTGAAGTGTCTCTTTAACATTCTTGCTGACTGAATAATTTTATTGCTGTAATACCAGAGTCTGCGTGAAAAAATCCTCTCAAGAACGCTTTGCACTGAAAATTCTTCTTGATCGTCCAAAAGCTAGAAATGAGGTATAGTTCCTGTTTATACTGTCTGCCTTCTGATACACCACAAAGTCTCGCTCTTTTGGTGAATTGTTGCAATGGTTTAAAAAAACCTGAACCATGTGTTCTATAGATCTTGCTAGGCAAGATTCCTTGGGTTTGATCCTCTAGCCTTGCTGTGCTCAGTTCCTATAGGATGAGGTGGTGGGTGAAACAGAGGGTCTTTCTAACTCTTGAGTTTGCTGTAGGTGTTAGCTGTATATGTACAAGTGTAATTTATAGAGCTGCCGTTTAAAGCTGGTGTTCTCCCTACGTCCCATGTAATGTAACATGAATAGTTTAGAATGAATTTTGTTTCCATACATCTCACTCTTGGATGTCACTACTCGGAATTGCCAAGAATGCTTCAAGTTGCACTCTAAATGGTATGGGTTTATCTGTGTATGAGAAACTAAATAAGCTCACTGATACTGTTTGTGACTTACTGTGGCTAGCAGGAGCGTGCCAAGGTACCAAACTGTCAATCTATTGAAAACGATGGGCAGTCATTCAAGTTGTCATAAAAGTGAAAGCAGTGTTAATTGTCCTCAAGGTCTAGGCAACTTCCATTTCTTGTTACTGAGTAAATCCTCATTTAAAATTCCCAGGCAAAAATAATCTGTTTACAAAGAGCATCAAGCCTCAGCTTGATTTAGCAGTCCAGGTAGCTTTAAACTGTGGAAAATCTTAGGTGCCTATTTCATATAGTCAGAACAGGAGATGAGGTTTCACGTGTTGTGAGTGCTAGATCATCAGGCCATAAAAGAAGCTGCATTATGGAATTTCAGGTTTTATTCATGAATTTTCGGTTTCAATCGTATCTCTATTGCTACTTTAAAGCTAGTTCTAGCTTTAAATTTATTTTTAAAAGCCAAAAAAATCAAACATTGGGCTTTTTCCAAAACTCTGCTGGGTTTGATTCCATGGCCTGTAACAAATAGGTTGGCAATGTATGATCTTTTTGTCTTGGTCTAAGTAGTGTAATGGCTCTTGGTCACTCATATAAAAGCTTGTAGGCATTTCTTATTTTTTGAATAATTTTAAATTGGGTGTGACTGGTGCTGAGCACAGCTGGCAGCGCATGGGCTCGTGTGTGCCATAGTCTTGGGGGCAGAGGGAGAAGCAGAACTGGTCAAGTGCGTGTCACTGTGTACAGTAACATTTCTTCCCTTCTCTTCAAGGTACGTCTGCACATGATGTGTGCAACACATCCAAATATTGTTCAAATTATTGAAGTTTATGCTAACAGTGTGCAGTTCCCACATGAATCCAGCCCAAGGTAAGATTACATAGGGTGATTCATTCCCACAGCTTGCTTTCCATGTTTAGGCCAAGGTATAGTGGAGTTTGCTTTTTTTTTTTTCTTTTTTAATCACAGTGTGACCAAAATGAATATTTATAGGGGGTTCCAGATATGATATTTATACTTTAGACTAAGCAATGCTGACTTTTTCCCCTGTCAATGCCCAGACCTTTGCATATTTAAATGAATTTGCGTCCTTCACTACTGGTTTTGAATACATCTTCATTTCTTAGGTTTTTCATTGATTCGGTCTGTGATACCTGCATTGTCTGAGAGAGCGTATTAGCTTCTAGCTTCCGTCCTGCTTTGATATTGCTTTAGTAGCTTGAATTGATTGTAACCTTTGAGCCTCCTTCTGCTTTCAAAGCACTGTTAAAGCAGGATTGGAGCTGTGACTTTTATTGCTACCTAGAATCCTAAGTGAGATCCTTTCATATGATGGTGATGCCTGTGAGCCACTGAGAAATTCAGAGCACCAGTCTTCATTTAAATAAAATAAAAAAAAAAGGAAGAAAGAGTTGTTTCTAAAAATACTAGGTTCTGCCCTGTCAACTCTCAATACATTGTCCTGCTTAAAATGAACACAGCAAAACATGAAGCAGACTTATTTTTCATACATTAATATTGCTTGGGATAAAAATGTTGTCTTCTAATTGGATGTTAGTTGAGAAAAAAATATTGGAGCTGGGAGGACTAAAGAGCTGAGACCTGTCTTAGTCTCTGATGTATCTGATTTTGCTGTGTGGCGAGATGAACTAGAAGTTAGTTTCTTGAGGATCTAGCAGTCCTGATCTCCACACTTCTTATTTGTTGTCCTTTATAATTATGGCAATAAAATTGTAAATTAAAATCATGAGGTACAGTAGAGTATCCAGACTCAAAAGCATTAAAGATAATTCCTCAACCTTCTGCTTCTACGTTGCCGTGAACATCTTTAGCGCCTAGGCAGACAGCTAGGCAGATCGGCATGTCTGCAAGGATGGGTGCAGACAGGTGTATGTTGTGCTCTAAGCCAGCTCCAGCCTGGAAGCTGTTTAGCCTGTTTAATGCAAGACTCTACCTGCTGTGTTATTCTTTGAGGGCAGAGTTATACATCAATGTGTCTAAATGGCTTCCAGGTCCAAACTGGCTTGCTGGTGGAAAGCATGGGTGGAGCTTGCATGTATCTGTCTGAATGCATCCATGTAGACATGTCCATGGTGTTTGTTCCAGCTGGATGTGGGAGCCCAACATGAAGAGCAAACTGTAGATTCCTGGCTGACAATCAGTGAGTCAGATTGTGCTGGGAGCCAGAAAATCCTGCAGTTTATATGCTTAAAGGCAAAGTTAAGGAACCAAAATAGCTCTGACAACTGTAGGAGAAGCGAATATATGTCTCTTTTGGCCTGCGTCAGTAGATATGAAGTATGCATTATTAGCTTAGCAATTCTGTTATTTTTTGATTATTTTTAATATAACAAAATGAAATGCTTTTGAACAGGGCTCGGCTCCTAATTGTAATGGAGATGATGGAAGGGGGAGAGCTATTTCACAGAATCAGCCAGCACCGGCACTTTACTGAGAAGCAAGCAAGCCAAGTAACAAAGCAGGCAAGTTAACACCCATGTATAAGCAAATCCATGAATGATAATGGCTAAAGTATTTAACAATTTCTTGGGGGGGGGGGGGGGGGGGGGAAAAAAGGAAGCTAAAATAATCCTCAGTTCTGATCCGATGATCATTGCCTGCTTTGTTATAACCTGACAATGCCAAAGTTTTAATAGAAGCAAAGAATCTGAAGGTGTGGGCTAGTTCTTCTGGGTTGGCACCCCGGTGTCTCTGCTGTCCTTAGCAATGGTTTTCCTAACCTCGTCTACGGAACGCTTCACCAAAGAGAGCTCTTTTCTTGCACGGTCTTCTTGCTGTATCTCTCGCTGTTGTTGTAGAAGTGTTACCTCCAACAGTCCACAGGCTCTCACCAGACCTCGCGTGGCTCCTGAGCTCCAGTTTGAGAATCGCTCTTGGCCATGACACAGACTTGGCATTTCTCTCACCTCTTGGGCAGAATAGCAGACAATAATGTACATGTGTCCTGGGCCAGTGCTTTTCAAGCTGGGTTCTGTATTTGGTTTTATGGAAGTCTTGCCTATCATGGAAGATAGCAAGAGGAATGTACCACTATAGTGCATGTTTTCTGTGCTGTTTGTTCTGATGTCATTTTTCCCTCTCCATTTCTCTATGCAACTCACTCTTCAATGTTGTGTTTTATAGCCTCCACGGTATTTATTACTAGAGGTTTTGGTGTTCATCAGGCTTTTGTTGCTTAGCAGTGCATCTGGTGTGACTAGCTTATATCCTGTTAGAGTAGGCAGGATGATGAAGCAGAAGGGCCTCCATGGGATTCAATGTGGGGATCCCCAGTGTCAGTTCCTCTCAGTTCTGGGGTGAACTTGTTCCCTTTCACTTCCAAGCTGTTGGATGACTTGTGGTACCCAGTCAGAAAGCTTGGATTAGTGGGAGGCTTGCAGGAAAGATGGTATAGCTGTATGTTGTGGTAGCCTTTCTAGGGAGCTACAGCAGAGGACCAGCAGGTTGCTGTAAGGAACCACAAGGCAGAATGATCTTGCTGTCAAAATGGCTGAGCTCTTCTGCATGGGAATTGGCACCATGGCATGAAGCTGAGGGCCAGAATTGCCATCGTTTGCTTCTTGCAGAGGTTATATTGGCATTCCAAACGAGATATATGAACTGTAGGTGAGAGGCTATACTGGAGATACTAATCGGTAAATATCCTGCTCCCACACCAATGATCACTGCAGTGAATAAAGGAAAGAAAACATGAGACAAGATACTACAGCATTTGTTATAAATTGACATGACTCTTTATGAATATATCCATATCCTGATCACTTGCTTCCCCCTAAGCTGGGGAGATAATTTTTGGTACTGAGGCAAAAAAGAGGGCCAAATCATTTAATCTTACTTTTCCATCTTGTGCTTTGACTTGTTTCTAATGAAATGCTAATTGTGATCTTACCTTTTCGGTTTCATCCAACAAAGAAATTAGGTGGAAGTACAGAGTTATTCTTGACAGTTTGTTTTCATGTCCTTTGGGCTGTTTGATTTTGACATTACAAGGCTGTCTCCAGGATTAACATGTTGGGAAAATCTTTTAAAACTATGCTAAAAGACAAGATTTTTGAATTGAATTCTGACTGTGTGTATGCTTGGGTTATTCATGTCCCAAATAACTCTTTGCTTTAATGTTTATACAAATGAAGTTTTAAAGCAATGTTAAAGTCTTATTCTTTCATCTAGTGGTTCTTCATCACTGTCTTGAACTACAGGCCTTATTTCCTTGTACCCAGTAATAGTTAAAAATTTGTCACAAAGCTACTTTCCATCTTCTCTGGGAATGTGTTTGTATTTGTTTCTGAGCTAAGTTAACACTGAAGTTCCCTTGTCATGGTAATTTGCAGTCTTCTAAGGACTTGGTGCTTCACCCAGGGTACTGTGTTTGGGTAGGATCCTACAGAAGCCAATAAGAATACTTTCAAATAAGGATCGTGTGGCTTTGCCTTTTGTTTCAGTAATGATGTTTAAGTATTTATGCTTTGGTTTTCTTTAAATTAATTAAACTTTCAAATGTACAGTCTGTAGAGCTTTCATGACTGGGTTACAGGTTTCTAAACCACAGCAGTGTAAAATGCTGTCTTTGAAAGAATCAGGTAACGCATTTCTGTGCAATATCCCATGAAATGAGTAAATTGCAGGCAGTACCATCAAGAATTAAAGAATAAAACTGCCTGAATGTTAACTCTTAAGTCAGTAGCAAATGCAATAAAATATTCTCTGAAATAATGAAGCAAGATCTCACTGTTGACTGTTAAACAGAATGTAATTGCTGGAAGCAATTACATGCAAGCAAGTGTAGTGACCTTGTAGGCCTAGCACAGCATATAAAAGGACGCTGTCATGATCTATTTAACTTCTGGGGGGCTAATAATGCTCTAAGTTAGTCAAACTAAGATGGTTGGGAAGCCCAGTACAACTTGGCTTTTATTTTCTGTTTGCTTTGACTGAAATGCAAACTGCATAGCTTGGTGGGTTTCACTTCCCCAGCATCGCTTTACTGTGCTATGGCGCAGTATGGCCAGGCTTGTCTTAACTCAGGATTGTACCCGAGTGTAGTGAAAAAGTTTGGGGTCTAAGCTATGTTGGCAATGTCTTTTTTAAAGCTAAAATAACTGTCCAGGCTAAAGGAGTTGTTCTGTAATTGTAGTTGATTTATTGTGCCCTTTTTCAGATAGCTTTGGCTTTGCAGCATTGCCACTCACTAAACATTGCACATAGAGACCTCAAGCCTGAGAATCTCCTCTTCAAGGATAACTCTCTGGTAAGATGAAGACCTGGTATTCTTTGTTTACTGCTGAATTCTGTAAAATGGTTCAATGGTGATTTTCAGAATAGTTGTAAAATGACATTAATGCAATGTTTTGGTGACAAAAATTAATGACCTTTTTTGGCTTCATGCTTTTCCATACTCTGATCTGCTTGGAGTACAGGCTGTCTGTGCTGCTGCTGTTAAATATGGGTCAGGTTCTCCACTTCAACATAGCATCCTGCTTTGCTGAGGAGAAGATCTGCTGTGCCACATTTCCTCCCTGGGTGTCATCAGGATGTTCTGACATGGATTATAGGTGCTTCTTCTGCTCATAACCACCCTGCATATGCAGTATCCCCCCTACAATGTGCTTAGTGTTTTCCAAATCTGAGAGGAGGACTGCTTTTGACCCAGAGCACCCAGGAAAACAAAAATGCTTGTTTCAAACATCAGTTTATGACTTTTTAGCTGCTTTGTGGAATGTTAAGGCTATAAATACAAGGGGGCTATGTGTGGCAAAGTCGAGTAGAAGGCAAGAAATATGTATTAGAAAAGCTGATACAATGAAATTTTGTAATGAAGCCTCTTCTCCTTGTTTTAGGATGCACCTGTTAAATTGTGTGACTTTGGATTTGCCAAAGTAGACCAAGGTGACTTGATGACACCACAGTTCACTCCATATTACGTAGCACCTCAGGTAACAAACGATTATGGCTCTGGGCTGAAGGGGAATTGTGATCTTTATTGCCTGTGCCTCCATAACCACATCAATTTAAAAGCCTTTGCTGTCCTATTAAGGGCTTCTGGGTGCAGGAATTTTGAGTAATTGTATAGTAGCCACCTTTCAAGATGCAGTGCCGCAGTGATCTGTTGATTACAGCAGGAGATCGTGAAGCAAACTTCCCAGATTGTGTTCTTAGCACTGACCGATTGCTGATGCCTCCTGACTCTCCCAGGCCCAACTCCCACCAGTGAGACTACTCTAGGATTTTGACAATGGGCCTTTAACTGCAGTTGGTTTGGAAAAGTCCCTGCTTTGCAATCCTTCTTCCAGTGCAGGCTCATTCAAGATTACATTAAAAAGAACAATGCTGAAACAAAAAGGTTCTCTAAAGGCAATTGCTCAAAAAGAGGGCAGTGCCAGAGGGTTACCTGTTCACCTTGGCTTGGCCCCCTTGTCAGTATGCATTAAGACATAATCTATAATTACAGACAAGCTGGTTTTTGTAGTGCTGCTTTCTTCACTTTCTTTTGTGCTTTGTGTTGGAGTCCTGAAGAAAATGAAAAGAAAACTGCAGATAGATATTTAATTGCAGTACTGGGCGTGTCAGCAGCCTTTAATGACTGGGAAGAGCAATTGCAGAGATCAGACCATGCAGCCACAGTTGAGTGCCCTGAAAATGCCTCCTCAACTGGAGCCTGCTGGTGAAGGGCCATGTGCACTACAGACAGGGTTTATAAAACAAGTGAACTACCAAACCCATAGAAAGCTTTTCCTGAGCATATTTAAACTGAGATTTTTGGAGAAACCCAGATTTGATCAGCAAGTGACAAATTTGATGTGATTTGTTCATGGGAGAGGTAAAAAGGGACATCTCTGGAACTAGGGTTACCCTCCACACAGTGTAGGTTCTAGTTCCAAAGCATAGAGGTGTTAGAGGTTTTGAACAAAAGAGGTGTGAGCAATTGCTTTAATTCAGGCAAAACTGGAGATTACATCCAAAGCAGCAAAATATTTTAGCTGAAATTTTCCCCATGTAGAAGGTTCCAGTCTTTCTTAGGAAGAACAGTTCGAGTTTGGCAGAGTCTTCAGTAGCTGGAATAAATTCACCGATTGAAAAAGCATCAGATGTCTTGGGCATAGGTATTGCTGCTTGTGGTGCCTGTAGATGAGATGTATTTTGCTTTTTTTTTTTTCCCTCTCATGGCAACAGGTATTGGAGGCACAAAGACGGCATCAGAAAGAAAAATCTGGTATTATCCCCACCTCTCCAACACCTTACACTTATAACAAGGTAAGCTATGAAACAGTCCACAAGTCAATATCTTTAAAGAATAGTGTCTCTGCCCTCCCCCCCGCCACTCCCCACCCCATGATGTATCTGCTGAAGTAGTCGTCTATAGACATGGTTTATCACCTAAGGCCATGAACTTTATTGCCCTGGAATTACACACTTAAGGCCAGGAGCAATAAAGTTGTTCTGATATCTGTGACAGGAATGCATCTAACTAGCCAAATATCTCACACTGAGTAAAAAGCAGGATCTACAGGAAACAGTAGGGAGATGTCATATTGCTTGCTATTTCATGTACATGTGTATTTTCAGCTGTAAGGAAGTAGTATCTTTGGGGCCATATTTCTCAAAAGTGTGGTTCCTTTGGCTTTTTGAAAAGAAGTGACCAGGTATACAGTGGTATTTCTCCCCTTAAATGTATTAGGTTCAGACCAAGTTTCATTCAGTTGAACTAGCAAATCAGAAGATAATCTGTGCAGGTAGCTGGCTTTCTCAGTTTAGAAGTGGCACGTTAAAAGGTGTGGCTGGCTCTGTGTTCTTTCTGATAGAGTGAATAATGAAATGCACACTTGTTCCAAGCCTAATTAATGATCCTCTAATTAAAGGAAAGATATACGAACACTGTTAAAGGAGCACTAAATATTAACAAGATACTGGAGAGAGTAGAGTGATTCTGCTGGAGTGTGACCATGTGGGAAATTGTTTCACCTCCACAAGAGGCTGGTTCAAAGGAAACCTCTCTTCTGCTGTCAGCCAGAGTTTCTGGATGTGCAAAGCACTATTTAGGCTATCTTGTTCAGGCAGCTGTGGTGGTACCTTGTCTGTATTGGGGATCTTCTGCAAAATGACAGGTAGTGTTTTGTGTTGTCTGTAGCACTAGCCATGGGCAATAACAACTGCTGCTAGAGTCTTGGCAAAGTTGTGACAGAAAGTGTCCTGAAAGGTTGTACTCCTTTTTGGTCATTCCAAAACATTTTCCTCCATATTATCATCACTGTCTGCTGCTGGCTTAGCAGTGTTTGAACCACTGAGTGTTCTTTCAGAGTGTCAATTTGGGTTGAAGTTAGCTGGTTTCTGATTGCAGTGCTAAGTATCTATACTGATTCCAGCTTCAGGGATGGTTGTTTAATCCACCACATGCTAGAGGGGGTAGTTTGATATATAGTGTTATATTTTAGTAACCTTCTATAGAGAGCTAAAGCAAAGACAGGCAGAGATAGCTTTCACTGAATGTCCACATGTGTTTCCTAATCTTGAATCTGCCTTCTTCAGGGTCATGATTATCTCTTCTCCATCCTGGAGAACAGACTGATGATTGAAGCCAGGCACTTCTTGGAGTTCTTGGACAGGTGCCGATAGTCTTTTCAATACAGAGTTTCTTCTGCCCTGTCTCATGTGAACCCTAGTCACAGGGAAAATTGTTTTTTATAAATTTTAAGCCTCACAAGGCAGGGTCAAGAATTCCACTTCTGTGGATTGAAGCAGATTTACTCTCCAATTATAGCCCTCTCCAAGGGAGTAGATACAGTTCCAGAGACACCTAGAAGTGGTTGCTCACTGTTCATGTTGGTAACAGTTTGACAGCTGTCTTGTTCTTGTAATGAACCAAAAAGCCCTGGCCATGGCACCTGAAGCAAAATAGGCGTCATATTCTTGTACTGAATGGAAGAACCTTGAAAACAGATAGCAACTGGAGTTAACTCACGTACTGAGAAGGTTCAGCTGTCTTGATCTTCTGGGATTTATAATGTGATTTTGTTTTCGTGTTTCATCTAAAGAATTGATTGGTCACTCTGAACTGCTTTCAGCCATGGTGACACTAACTGGAAAGGCTGCTGAAAGAAGCGGCCTCATCCTTACCTTGCCAAGTGTGACTCACTGCAAAAGCAGCATCTGGCATATGCCTAGTTCCCTGAAATAGACTGTGATAAACTCCCAGGTACACTGTCCTTCCACAGCAATTCAGAGCCTGAGTGGAGATGCCTGTGATCCACCTTCATGATCAGCAGCGCTATCCCACAGACTTAAATTGGGGGAAAAAACACATCTTTGATTCCTGAGTATTTTTATTAAGTCGTGTGTGTATCGGATCAAATATGAGTGTGTATGTCATGGCTGAAAGGGGTTGACTCTTGAGAAATAGAATCTGAGAACCATATCCATGAAGAACTTAGATGCCTGTTTCCTACTTATATGCCTAAAACCCCATTATCTCCAGTTAATGGAAAAATGATGAAAATTTAGGTACCTAAATAGAAATTTAGACTTCTAGAGCCATATGAGATTGCTTTTCAGCAAGTTGTTTAAGCCACACATATGTGGGGTAACTCCTTGGAGTTTCTTTCGTTATCAGCATCCACATGTTTTGTAAAAGCCAAAAAGCCAAGGGTGTGATATAATGATTAGTGTGAGCTGATCTAAGTGTATTCCCTCCAGAAGGAAACAGTCTCACCTTTAAGGGCCCCTTCCTGGGTCAGTGTTGATCCAGTCAAAAAACAGTTATTGGAGTCAGGGATTCTGTGTTTGCTGAGTTCATCTGAGCAGCTTCATGAACGCTGGTGCTGTCCTAGAGTAGGCAGTGGAATATACAGTCTGGGGCAGAAAGGGTGGTGCTGAGGTCGCTTCAGTTGGCAGCTGTGCAGACTTCTGTCTGTGTAAACTGATTATGGAACCTCCCCAGTTCCCCAAATCTGCCCTTGTGTGTCTTCCCACAATCACCTGAGCCTGGCTGGAGTTCAGGCTTCTGCTTACACTTGGCTGTGTGTTCCTGTCCATCCTTGTGCTGGCGTAAACCTTTGGGAGTCCCCTGGAGGACTGATAGGGCTGGAAACCAAGCTAGTAAAAATAAATAATTAGCTGTACAAATGCTAGTGTTGGCACAAAAGAAGTATTGGGAGTAGGTGGCCAGGGTCAGAACAGGTCCTACCAGCCCTAGCCTGCACCATGCCATAGTCAAGTGATAACAGAGCCCCATCCTTAAGGATGTGGTCCAACAGAAGCTTGAATTGAAGTCTAGGCTGTTATGGTTCTCTTCCTTTCTTCCCAAGTAGTGTCTATGTTGCGTGAACACACAGTGATCCAGATGGGGAATAGATCTGGCTTTCAGCTTCTTTACTGAGCTGGTTGTTGGCTGGATCCACCTTCTGGGTGAACTTGTTCTGTATCATGTCAGCAGTACTAGTGCAAGGGCAGGGGAGGAGCTCCAGGCTGAGGTGGGAGGACAGGAGGGAGCGCAGCATAAGCAGCTGTGAAATACTGCTTCTGGCTTTCTGAAGCTTCTTCATCTCCGTGGCTTTCAGGACGTGCATTTTTCATTACAGACATCTGATGAAGTATCCCTGCTAGCTCATTTGTTTGATGGTGTTTCTTTTTTTAGTCTCGCATTCTAAAAAAATGACTGTATTCTGCTTTATGTTCTGGTACTGAGAGACTAGGATTCAGGCATCCTGAGAGATGTAATAAATGCGCAGCTTGCTCATGCCTCTGACGCACTGGCTGTTACCATACAATTTACCATTGCATAGCACAGAGTTACAGGAGCGCTTTCTGTAAACAAGCTACTTTTGGGTACTGGAAGTAGTTTAGCTTGGCAGCTTGGAGTTATCTTGTGCTTACGTATTTGCCATATTTATCCATGAAGTTCCTCAGATGGACCTTTAGGAGGAGGCTGGGCTGTGCTTCTGTTTTCTTAGGGAATCACATAGAACTCTTAACATAGCTACACCACTGCTTGCTGCAAATTGCGCCCCAAAGTGATCATTTCCTTGCTTTCAGAGCTGTGACTTGTGGTCCCTGGGTGTCATTATTTACGTGATGCTGTGTGGATACCCTCCGTTTTACTCCAAACACCACAGTCGGACAATTCCAAAGGACATGCGGAAAAAGATCATGACAGGAAGTTTTGAATTTCCAGAGGAAGAGTGGAGCCAGATCTCAGAAATGGCGAAAGACATTGTGCGAAAGTGAGTCAGTTGAGGAAAATGTTGTATTGCTCTTTGCTTATATTAAGAAATTGGAAAATCACTTGAAAGTGCATTATCACAAAGGGCTTATTTTTTCCAAAGGCGGGGGGAATTGTCTGCAGCACATAGAGCTGAAAAATTTTCTATTGTATTCAGCACAAATGAAGTCTGGTAAATTTTTTTTTTTTTAAATTTTTTCCTCCCCAGCTGTTGTGTTCAATTTTTGATATCTCCTGTCTCTGACGTTGCTAGAGTGCATTGTGCATTCAGCCTTTAAGGGGAATGGGTACACTACCTTGCTCCAGAACAATATAGACGACTGGCTGCCACATCTGCAAGTGCTCTCTAGGCACGTATCTCCCGTGCTAATGTTTAAACTCCTGTTGAAATCGGGGGACATTTAGGTGGCATAATAGGATCTGGTAGATCTGTCCCTTAAAACCCTGTGCACATAATACACAGTCTAACAGGACTCAAAAGAGAGGCATGGAAAGGGAGGTTAAGATCTGTCACAAGGTGTCAGACTATGAGATAAGGTTTTGCATTGATATTTTATTCTAAATGCTAATGGAAACTGTTTTTTATGCAATGCACATCTCGGTTGCAAATGTTTCAAGGACTGTGATCCCATGGTCCTGTTTGAAAGCAAGAATGTGGCACTGGTTAGGTCTTGACCTCACTTATTTTTTAAAACGTGAGAGGGACTTACTGCCTTTGCTTGTATCACCAGAGAAACTTGAAGGATAAAAGCGACATAAAATAGAAAAAAATCAATTGGTTAAATAATTTTAAACTGTCATTGTCTCTCCTGACATACTGTAAAATTTCCGAGGGCTTAACATTGTTTGGAAAGGGTGCTCTGACCTGTTTATAGCAGTGCAGGAGAGCCCACAACTTTTTGCCGAATAAACTGCAGATTATGTTGCAGTGAAACTTCTGTTAATACTGAGGTCAACTCTTTATTCTCACTCAGAAGCTCCACAGTCAATAGGTTTCATTGTCTTTTAAAATGGCCATGAAACTCAGCTCACAGAATGTTGTTACTTGGATTCAGTTCGCTTCACTTAATTCTCTCACTAACGTTATCAGGACTCCCTTTCCTGCTTGTCTTTTCCAGCCAGTGAGGCTGCATCTGTGTTTATGGTGCAGGAATACATTTAGACTTTATATAATTCTGGATAAGTTTACATTTTATTTATGTAGACTGCTGTTCATGTGGAGTCTTGCTTCTGGAGGTCATATTTTGCATTCAAGCAGCTGCTTCCTTTCAAGCATGTTGAGCTGATTTCTGACCTCAAGCTTTATGAGCTGGAGTGCTTTGTAATAGGTTAGGACTTTGAAAACCTATGGAAAAGGAATGCACGTGTCTTGGGTCTTGTATCAAAACTGAACTTATGACCTGTTTGGCAGCATGGCCTTGCAAGTGAAATTTATGAGCTAGCCTGTGGTCCTGCTGACATTTTGTAAAAGTTATTTCCACTTTCTTGGTACATTAAACAATTCTGCTTTGCAGCCAGGAAGCTGATTTAGAGTGTTGTCTAAGAAAGCATGACAAACTCATCAAGTCATTCTGTTTCTAATTTAGACTCTTGGGATAACTTGTCAGCACTCTGTGAAATTTTACTTTTTTATTAAACAGTTGTGATTATCATGAGAACAGGAGTTTATCTGCAAAATCTCTTTCCAGGGTTTCATTCTAGTAAAATTTAATTCCGTGGAGTTTTCAGAGATCTCGGAGTAAAGTTCCTTCTTACTTTGAGGTGCTGTAGCCTGCCAAAGTGTCCGTTACTTGAGGCTTTTGGAGGCGGAGAAAAGCTAAGAAGTTGCACGGTGAAATCAGTTAATTCAGCATACGGGTTTCCAACTTTGAAACTTTGCCTTACTTCACCACCCTCAGAGTCCTTGGTATGAGTATAGACTATTATGTGGATGAGCTCTAGATGTGCATTTGCAGAGAGTGTCAGTCTGGATAATTTCCAGTTCATCTGGAAGATAACTTCCCATCTGGGAGAATGCGAATATAAAGTTCACAGGTATTACTAAAATGGCCTTCAGCACCTTTCTTTTACACTGAGTTGCTGAATATAACTGAATGAGCTGTGATAGTGTTAAAATATCACCACAGCAATGGTCAATGAAGCTGGTAGGTCAGTCTGCTTTGGGGTCAGCTTAGTGTTGTAGTTGTTAGGAGGAGTTTCTTTTTTGGCCCCTTTAATGCTTAGAGTTTAAGTGCTCTGATCCCAGACAGAGCAGCACATTGTAAATGAGCAAAGACCTGTTTATGGACTGATTGATTCCTCTCCCAGGCTGCTGAAGGTCAAACCTGAGGAACGGCTGACCATTGAAGGTGTGCTGGACCATCCCTGGCTCAACTCCACCGAAGCACTTGATAACATCCTACCCTCTGCCCAGCTGATGATGGACAAGGTCTAAACAACATTTTACTTTATCAGAATGATCCACAGGAGAGCTGGGTAGCTCTTGGATGGTTTGAGTGTTTTCTTTCATGTGGTGTTATGCAGATAAAGAGCTCCCCTTCTGTCTTAATGAGAGCCTAAGATCTTTGTAAGAAAATGGAGACAGTTCCATTTGAAATTTGGGCTAGGAGAAGATGCTCCAAGATAGGCAGTAAAGAGCAGCCATGCGCTAACAAGTAGAGAACAGAGTGTGGCAGTAAACATGCCTGATGACTCTTCTGTCTTTTCTCATTTTTCCCCATGTTTTGTACCTGACTACAGCTATGCCCCCATTAATTAGCAGCAAATGAATAGCCCTTTTTGCTTCCTTTAAACTCTGCTCAAAGAGGAGTTCAGTCAGCACTCTTAAGGTTGTGGACATGAGAAGTAGAGATGATCCTTTGTCCTGTCCATCCCCTGTGAGGTTGGGGTATGTTGTCCCGCAGTCAATGACTGTAGTTCTAATCATGTCTTGCGTAATGCAAACCTGATTTTCATTATGCATCTCTGAAACAAATAGGATTTTGGTACATATCTCTTTTTTTTTTTTTTTTTTTTTTTTTTTTTGTCCATGGGTAACATTGTCCATATATTGTTCTTTAATTCACACAGAAGCTAATTAAAACATCAAGTGCAACTCCTTTTCATTCCAGGCAATGGTTGCAGGGATACAACAGGCTCATGCAGAACAGCTTGCGAACATGAGAATCCAAGACCTCAAAGTCAGTCTCAAACCCCTTCACTCCGTCAACAACCCAATCCTGCGCAAAAGGAAATTACTGGGGTAACTCTCTAAAGCTGTTTTTGAAAGATCAAAGTGTAGGCAGCTGTGATGCCTGGAGAATGATTTTAAGCATGTTACAGGTTCATTAAACTCTAACAAAGCTCCTGAATTTCTGATTTGGTTGATGCACTCTTCATGCTGAAGTGGGTAGTTGGAGTCAAGTAATACTTGCCCAATATGGTGTGTCTTCCAAGATATGCCAGTGAGGGCAGGAAGGAGATTGGATAGTGTTATTGTATTACACAGGTAGTGGAACAGATCCCTTATGAGAAGATGAGTCACATGTTGAGTAAGGTAAGGCAAACTGGGAGAAAGAATTCCAAGATTTTTTTCTGATCCTGACATTTATTTACTGAAAAAGTCAGGCAATCTCTCTCTCTTTGTTCGAGTGACCTATCTGAAAAATAATGGGATAATGCATTTTAGGATTACCCTTACGTGAATTAATTTAAAGGAATATTTATTTTTTTCTTCATATTTAAAGTGGCCTTATAATATAGGACGTTGTTATAATTAATGCTAAATCTAGCTCCCTGTCCCAGCTTTCCAGAGAGTGAAAGAGAGCCTTATACTGGTGCAGTTATGCAACGAGTAACGGACTTGAGTTGCATTCAAATTGTAATTTTCCTCCTTGTTCTTTTGCAGGACTAAGCCAAAGGATGGTGTCTATATCCATGACCCTGAGAATGGAAGTAACGATTCCAACGTGGCTCTGGAAAAGCTCAGAGATGTGATTGCTCAGTGCATTCTACCACAGGCTGGTAAAGGTTGCCACTTTTAAGAAAGTTACATTCTTAAACATGACAAGACATTAACTTTTTACTGTGCCTCAAGATCACTCTGTGTCAGTGGTGAGGAAAGATAAACAAAACTCCTGTTGTCTTAGTCTGAAGAGGAAAGTGTTGTCTGTGGACTATAATTTTGGTGCATGCATAATTTTAGTGTCAACAGTGACATGCAGAGCTGTTAAAGTAACTTTCAAACAGGAGTGTCTGCTTTCAAACTGATTTCCTGGTTTGCATGAGGCAAGGAGGAATAACTGCATGTACTGATTACTGAACCTCTGAATGTTGCTGTGAGGCAGAATGACAAACCTCCTGTTTATCTTTGTTCACCTAAATAGGAGAGAATGAAGATGAGAAGCTGAATGAAGTGATGCAGGAGGCGTGGAAGTATAATCGAGAGTGTAAGTTGCTGCGAGACACTCTTCAGAGCTTCAGCTGGAATGGTGAGGAATTCCTTCTCTTCCATGGAGGATGGTGCTAATACTGGGTGAAAGAGCAGTGACCTTCTTGTATGGAAATAAAAACAAATTTCTTGAATTTGTGCCAAACTGATTTAGGTTTTGGCACTGTTTCAGTTCTTCTGCTGGCATGGGTGTTCTAGAAATGAGGTTGAAAGTTCTGCTTTAAAATTTCTGTTTGAGGTTCAGGGTAGAGTTTTCAAAGGCACCAAGTCATGTAGGAACATAACAGCACAAATGGATCATCACTTCAGAAACAGCTTTAGCTGTTTTGAGCTGGTTTCCTTCCAGCTGTTTATCGCATTCTTTCTGCTGGAGACTGCTGCCCTCATCTATGTCAGCACAAGATCTCTTCTGCTCAGTTTGGGAAGGAAACAGAATTAAACTAGGGCAGCTGCCTTGGAAGTGTTCAGATGGCTCCTTGACAAAACAGGGTGGCAGAGGTGTCAGCCCCCAGGAGCAGATGCTGATGAGTATGAGGCAACCAGGGGTGTCAGCTAGGTTCACAAGGCTTGGTTGTGCCTCTTCCCTCATTTTGTTTTGTTTGTTTGGTTTTAATTTAGGTTTTTAAGTGCTCAGTTTTTTCAGTGGAACTAGACATTATAATTCATTTTGGTTCCCTTGCAGATGTCCTAAGTTTCTGTGTGAAGCATTGTTTTGTGTTCAGTTAGTGTATAACTGCAGCCATGCTTGCTTTCCTCCTTGTGCCTAGCACCAGCTGACTACCTGTTCTTTTCCTTTCAGGCAGAGGATTCACAGATAAAGTGGATCGACTAAAACTGGCAGAAATAGTAAAACAAGTTATCGAAGAGCAGACAAACTCCCATGACTCTCAATAGCTGGAGCTTCTTAATCTTATTTTTTTTACCATTTAAGATTTATTCTTTAACTGTAAAAAGTATTTTTATGTAAATTAATAAATCATAATTATTTCATTAAATTTCCATACTGCTTGAAAATGCTGTATAGTTGTAGATACAAAAAAATCATTGGTACTGTAATATTTTTTTAAAACTCAGTTCCTTGAGGTATATATGATCACTTATGTACTGTTAATCATGAGTCCCACAGATGGGGCAAATTATATTGTTAAAGACCATTCTTTTTCTTAATAACCAGTTGCAGAAGCTGCCTTCCATCTGCTATACATACAGCCAGCTGCAATGACTATGTATGTGAACAAGACAGCCACAGTTTCTCAACACCCTGCTCAGTAAGTACTTGAAGCAAGTGCTGTGAAACACAAACTTCATAGCTACCCTTTGCGCCTAAATTCTGAGTCTTTATGTAGAGGCAACTAAATAGCCTTCTGTTTCGCTAGATGACCCAAGAGCCATGCTTGGCCTTGCCAAGGGCACCTGAGTCCATATGCTTGCTGTATTTTTCAGTTCTGATCAGTAGCCCTCTTTTTTTCTTCTTCCTCATCTTCCTTGGACCTTCTTTAAGGCTTAGCCCTCTTCCCCTCCCCCCCCCCATCTTTCTCAGACCTTTTTTAAGGCTGAATGGGCCATTCAACATAAGACTCCTCTTCTTATCATATTGTTCAACAGCAGAATAGAAGAATGTTCTAGTTACTTATGTACAAGTTATTTTTATTTTCATGGTGGGATCTTCTATGGACAAAAGTAAGTGGGGTTCATTTGCTTCATCCCCACCTCAGAAGTTGTGTGTGTTCCACCCATTCTTTCCTTTCTAGAAGATCCAACACTTGGTGTCAAACTTGTCCTCTTGTTTGAAAGAGATCATCCTGGCAAGGGTCATAGTGCTGCTGTGTGAATCCACCGGTGATCCTTTTCTTGTGTCACCCTTTGGAGTCCAAGCTCCCCATCTCTTTGATGCCTTTGAGCTCCTCCTGGGGGAGCAACAGATGCAGGGCTGCTCCTTGACACATCCTTGTGCTGCCTGGACCATGAGGCTGCCCAGGGCAGATTCTTACACTAGTCTGGAACATTGGCTCCAAAAGCTGCTTTTTTAATCTTAATTAAACAAACAAATGAAAAGAATCTGTACATATTTCTAGTTTTCTACCTTCTGATGCTTTTCTTTCTTTTGAGACCGGTCGAAGGCTTTTTATAGAGATATTTTGGTACTAAACCTGTGCAGACGTTGAACGAGTTTGGTCTGCAGACTGAAGTGCCAATTCAGGGCTATTAGTAATGACTCTTGAACATTATTGTTATATTTCATAGCTCATTAATTTTGGGTTTACATTTACAAACCTGAGCCATGAATCTCCCAATTTACTCTTATGGCAGTCCAGCCTTGTTCTTTTTTGTCTCTTTTCTATACCAGACTTCCTTGCAACCTTTAGCTTGGATGGCAAACCCAGTGTCTGACTCTTTCTATAAAATTTTGTAAACAGTGACTTAGTTTTTCTACATGAAGGAGATACTTCATTTCCCATTCTTTGTCAGCACCTTGTCAGCTTTCTTTTAATCCTGTTGACAGTTTTCCAATGCCTGATTTATTGCAGAGTAAGAACCACAGTCCCTACTTAACCATCACTTTCTCTGATGGAAACAGGGAGTTTTTGTGTAAGCCAGAATTGTACCTCTGACACTACATGGAATATTTGTGCACTGACGGGTATCAATGACAACTGTAGAGAATTTGCAAGCGACGAGAGTATTTGTCATTTCTTGGTTGTATCAGCAAGTTTGCAGGCCCTATTATATGCATTTCTGTCCTTGCCCTAAATTCTAGGTTATGTCAACATCCACACAATCTTTAAATGTAATAGATCATTTCCTTTTTAACTTGAAATCCATGTTTTTTTCTGTGAAATCTCATTGTACTGGAACTTCTAAGTATGGCAAATAGAGAAATAAACAAGGAAATCACCTTTCTTTGAATGGGAGTGCAAAAAATTCCCTACAAAAGCACTTTGCAACTCTCCCCTCCGAGGAGGAAAATACTCGGGCAGTTTCTTGGGAGCCAGAAGTTGTTAGCAGAAAAATGGATCAAACTGTAGCAACTCTTTATGGTCAATGCACAGTGCAGCCAGCAGAGACTACTGCCATGCCACAGCCCGATACCATCCAAGCACCTTGTGAGCAACACAGGGTGTAACACACTGGGACCTAATTTTTCTCCGTCAGGTTCTCTAATGTTAAAGATGACAGTGGCAAGGCTTGTATGCTGTTTTGTAATGGTCTGTTGGAAATGGCTTCAGCCTGTTTCTGCAGTACCGGTGTGTGTTTGGTATAGTGGGCAGCACCTTGGGGTGTGAGAGCAACTGCTGCTTGCCGACATCCAAGGCAGCTCAGAAATAAGCAGAGAAGATGGGATCTGACTGTGCATTAGAGGGTCCTTCCTCTCATGGTCCCTTAACTTACACAACAGAATAATTTCAAGCTGCTCATAGTGAGGTGGGTACGTTTGCGACTGACTGTGAAGTGTGTTTTGGTATCTGGAGGGAAGCCAAATTTCTAAGGGCTTTTGTGATAAGGAACTGCTTTTTATGGATTTACTATAGATTTTATTGTCTGTGATAAATAAGAATGGCCTGATGTAAAATGGAGGTAGGAAGGGAGAGATTAAGAAAACACAATTTGAAGATTCAAGGTCAAATGGTTTTATTTCCGTGAGAAAGTTACTTTTTTCCTCTTTAAAAAGTTATGGTTTAGATTTCAAAATTAAATACACTTTAATGGATTCATTTACATATTTTAAAGTAGTATTTTACTTTCTCCTTCCTGTGTTTTTATATTTTTCAGTTGACATAAATGCAAGATACCTTGTCTTGATTATGGAAGGTTTTACTTGGTAATAAATCTACTGATACTTTATAGCAGACTGTGAATATTGTAAATATCTTGAGGTGGAAGGGTTGTGTGGGATCAGAGAAGACATTCTTTGTACAAACACTAAAAGGATATGGGAAAGCTCTGCAGGTTGGTTTGTTTTGGTTTTTTTTTTTTTTTTTAGAATTTTTTTTAAGAGAAAAATTTGAAATCATTTGACCTTTTCAAAATTTTATGTATATCTGACTTCTCCTGTGACTTGATTATTTTAAACTATATATATATATATATATATAAAAGTTAGAAGAACTTGACTAGGCAAAAGAGGTTTTGATTGGAAATAGCAACATGTCAGAGTTTTGCTGTCATTACTTCAGGTTTTTCTTTTGGAAATCCGAGTCTGTCGTCATATGCCATGTTTAACTTCTGTGTATTAAAATGTTTCCATTTCTCCTTTTCAGTGTTACCTGTAATATGTTAGTTTATTTTGGATCAGTATTATATTGTAAATATTACGCGTTGGTGTATATAAATGATTTTACTAAACTTAAAAGTTCCTGGCTGCTTTTGTTTGGTTCCCAAGTGCTCGTGGTACAGAAGGGAGGAAGGACAGCTGTGGCTTGGAGGTAACAGCAGCATGCTTCTCCTGCCACCCCTGGACGTGTCCTGCCATGCTCAGTCCTCCATCCCACCTGCCATACAAATGTGCATAAGCGCTTTGCTTTATATTTTGCAGGAGTGCCGTGAGGCTTTGAGACGAGAGAATGACTGACAGGATAGGCTGGATAAAGCCCTAGAAAATCTTGTGCTCTGCCTGGCAACATAACCTGAAATTGCCTGTTTTAAATGCTGCGTTCCATTAGACGGCAGCAGTACATGCCCAGTGCTACTGCTTAACCCCTCAAGGTCTATAGGATTTTTTCTTGTAGCTGTGACTTTGGGCAGTCGGGGAAGTGAGGGATGCATTGTTCTGTGTTCAGTGATATTTCCCCTGTCAGGTATAACAGCTCCTCCGTTCTGCCAAGCGTGTTCTTTGGGGCAGGAACTAGGAACCATTTTTTTGGGGATGACGATCTTTGCAAGGTGCCTTTGCTGAGGCTGGCTGAAGCAGGAGCCCTGCAGGGACTTGTGGCAGGACCGGCAACTTGGGAGACACCAGGAGATGAGAAACGGGTCGGCCTTTGTTCAGGCTGGCAGTGCACTTTGCCAGGGAGCACTGGAGTGGTTCTCACCTGTTAGGCAGTCAGCCCTTCTGAACACAGACTAGTGCCATCAAGCATGGCACTTGTATGCTTTCTGGCTCTGGAAATATTTTTATTCTCCTCAAGCGTGGTTTGCCTGGCTTGTTGACAGCACCCAGATAGACCCTTGTCACCTGAGCATTTCAGAACAAAAGTGGCACTGAAAAGAGGCAGTGGGACAGCTGTGAGTCCTAGTGTGCCCCAGGCCACTTTCTTGTAAGAGTTAACATCCATCTGCTTGGTACCTTTGAGGAGTTAATAGTGTGTTGGATAGTGAGTGGCTGTCAGAGCATCCATAGCATTGGGAAGGGAAGTGACAGAACAATTTCCAAGCATCCTGGGAGTATTTAAGGCAAGTGCCCTATAGAAGTGGCACAAGAAAAGACTCCCTTACTCATAGAAGGCTGTGTGGCCCAAAGAATGCCTCTCCCTTTCCAGCAAGAAAACTCCCCTGGAATAGTTAAAACATTCAGTGATATGTGCTCAGCTGAGTGAGGAGCCCTGCAAGGATATCTGTCAACATACACTGAAGGCTCTTACTGCTGCAGCTGAAGGTCCCATTAGCAACCAAATCATTGTTTCCTGGGTAATCTTCTATTGCTTTCCACTTATGAATGCTTAATCCCCTTTTAAACAAATTGCTGTAGCAGTGCTGGCTCATCAGGCTCTCAGCAAATGGGGTCAGCCCAAGTAGGGTGCAGCAGGCTTTTAGTGATGAGATAGGGTGTATTTAATGCACTGCTTGGTCCGGGCTCTGCCAGTTCCCAGGGCACGGGTCCCATTCTCCCCATGGAATGTTTGCATTTGAAGTGGGGCTGGAGAAACGGTTGCCCCTTGGGCCCTTCTGTTCCAGACCCAAGAGCAGCTCTGCCCTGGTTTCCCACCCTGTACCAGGTCTTTCCCTGTGCTGCTTTGCTCTGTTGCAGTTGGATGGCAGGCTGGCTGGCTCCTGGCGTGTCCTACCTCCCCCTTGGACAGGTAGGTGAGGAAGAGCTAAGAATGGATGAAGGGAGCAGGCAGTTTGAACCTGGCTGCAGACTGAGTGGGGAGAAGAGAACAAAACCCTGAGGGAAGGTGTCCTGGGGGTGAGAAGGGATATTTGCTGCTGAGTTAAAGGCAGCTTTTCTGATGTCTCATCATCCATGTTTTCCTCTCTTTCCTCCAGCCTGGGAGGCAGTGAACATGGCCTCAAGCCAGACACAGCCAAGGTGTGCCCCAATGGGTAGAGGTGTTCTTCTCCTCGGACTGGGCTTCTCCTTCCTGCTCCAAGGGCTCCTGCTGCCCTGCACAGACTGCAGTCCCCAGCCCTCTTGGGGCTACACAGCCTACGAGATAGTCATTCCAAGGAAACTTGGCCCCAAGATAGGGAAAGCCAGCCAGGACCAAGTGTCCTATGTCATCAGCATTCAGGGGGTTAATTACACGATTCACCTCAGGCAGAAAGACTTTGTAATAAAAAAATTCCCCGTATTCACTCGTGACTCCCGAGGGGAAATTGTGGCTGAACAGCCCCATGTGCCAGCAGATTGCTATTACCACGGCTATGTGGAAGGCATCCTGGACTCTGCAGTGACTCTGACTACCTGCTCTGGGCTCAGAGGACTGCTACAGATTGGAAACTCCAGCTACAGCATCGAGCCCCTGGCAGCTTCCACCACGGCTGAGCATCTTCTGTTGCAGAGGGAGAAAGCGGTTCCTGGAACGGTGATGTACAAAATTCCCAACGAAGGTGGACAATTTCCAGGTCCCAGTACAGCAACAGGGCGGTTCCAGCTCCAGAGGCATACGCGGTATTTGGAGCTCCTTGTTGTGGTGGACAAGGAAGGTTTTGATGCCTTTGGCAGAAGTATAACTAATGTGACACTGGAAGTTATTGAAATAATCAATCTGGTGGATGGACTGTTTTACTCTTTCCGCCTTCGTGTCTTGATAACTGCATTAGAGGTTTGGGTGGAGAAGAACCCAATCAGTGTTACCAAAAACATAACACAGGTCCTTCACCATTTTAATCTTTGGCAGAAGCAGCAAAGGCTTACATATGCCATGCATGACGTGGGCTGTCTATTTGCCTCTATGGACTTTGATCATGGTACGAGAGCATTGCACATGGGTGGCAAATCCAACTTTGCCAGTGCATGTGATAGAGAACGTGCCTCTGCTGTTGTATCATTTGCAAAACGGCCTTACATGGACACTGCTGTCCATGTTGCTCGTGTGTTAGGGTATGTCCTTGGCATGGAGCAAGATGACAGATACTGCAGATGTGGAAACACCTCTAAATGCATCATGAGTGCACAAGGCACAGTGAACTATCAATTCAGCAACTGCAGCAAAAAGCACTATTTTGATTTTATAGTATCAGGGCAAGGATTCTGCCTTAATAATGCCCCGGAATTGGTAATGACATTTGCACTGCAGCGCTGTGGGAATGGTGTCCTGGAGGTTGGGGAGGAGTGTGACTGTGGCTCAGAAACGCAGTGTAAATTGGATCGTTGTTGTGACAATACCTGTCAAAAAAAAAAGGGAGCCATTTGCACTTCTGGAGACTGCTGCAAGAATTGCAGACCTCTTCCTGAAGGACAACTGTGTAGGGAGAGTTCTGATCTGTGTGATTTGCCTGAGTATTGCAACGGGACATCTGAGCACTGCCCAGCAGATGTGGCCAAGCAAGATGGGACTGTGTGCACTGAGGATGGGTACTGTTATTCAGGCAAATGCCAATCTCACACGTTACAGTGTATGAGTATCTTTGGCAAGGAAGCAAAGTCTGCTCCACTACCATGTTTCCAGGAGGTGAACATGAAAGGCGATCGGTTTGGCAATTGCTGGGGAGATGGGGCAGATGTCAACTTTCAGAAATGTAAGCTAGAAAACGTCCTGTGTGGGAGGGTGCAGTGTACAAACGTTAGACGTCTACCTCAGCTGGAAGATCACACAACCATCATTCAAACCCCGGTGGGTGGTACTTGGTGTTGGGGTACAGACTACCACTTAGGTGTGGACATCCTGGATGCTGGAGTCATTAAGGACGGCATGCGGTGCGGTGAGACGAAGATCTGCATTAATCGGACGTGTGTCCCTGAGGAGAAGTATTTGACATCCCGCTGTTCTGCCAAGAGAACATGCAGAGGAAAAGGTGTCTGCAACACTAGAGGTAACTGCCACTGTGACAATGGCTGGGCACCTCCCTACTGCCAGTTTATTGGCTTTGGAGGCAGTGTTGACAGTGGGCCTGCGCCGGTCACTAAAAAGGGGCTTTTTAGGTTCCTCATCGGGATGACTGTAATAACTGTTGCTGTTCTGGCGCTCGCAGCACTTGTCATTGTGCATGTGAGAATGCTCAGAGTTACCCAAGTATTAAACAGAATTGTTGGATGCTTTTGGGCTAGGGAACAGGCTCCTGAGGAGGATGTGAAGGACCAGGTGGAAGAAGACGGCTCAAAATCAGCTGAGAGTCAAAAATCCCCTGTGTAGGACTTCATGTGGCAGCAGTGGAAAGCTGGACTCAGTCAGTTGCTAGATTCAGACTCCAGCTGTGGTGGACTCATTTAAAACTGATCTAGATGCAAGTGTAGAGTTAGGAGACCTAGTTTTTATTCTGTAGAATAGCAAAATGAAGTTGTTTTGCTTGACTTCACGCCATAGGAGAAAAAAAAGTTATTGACAAAAATGATAGGGGCACTCAGGTTAGTTTAAAATCTGCCTGCTGGTTTACACTGATAGACACAGGCTGAGCAAAGAGGATCCTGGGGTGGCTGAGGCAGAGCCTGTGCAAGGCAAGAGCAACAGTTGTGTCTCAGCCCAGAGCATGGGGGTCTGCAGCAGCAAGTCCACCTCTCCACCAAACATGCAGTTCCCAAAGGACACCTGCTCTTCCCTCTGCGCAAAGAAACTCCACTACGGCTCATAGGAAGGGGTTCAAACTGTCCACACCACTGTATAGGACTCTTGTCTCCACACCCTATAGCCGCCTCCTCCGGAGCTGGGGTCCCAGGCAGAGTGCCCACCTTCAAGCCCATCCCGGGCATACCTGAGCACCTCCTCTGCAGCACTGCAGCCCAGGAACAAACACGAGCTGCTGAAAACATCAGGTGAAGTTAAGCGGGAGACAAGAGGAGGGAAGAAAGGGCTCTGAGTCTTGACTACAGGAGAAGAAGATGTGAAATATATCTGAAAGGAAATAGGGAAAGAAGAGGGAAAAAAAATCATTACTGCTCACGTCGGTGGCCTCTGTGCAAAGTACAAAGCTGGCAGGATCATTTGGACAGGAGCTTGCAGGAAGGCTTTGAGCAGCTAAAGAAACTGTCAGCAGCATCCAATCCCTGCCAGGCTGAGCTGACAAAAAAGCCAGGCTGCTGCAGAGGTGTCTACACAAGCTGGAAGCAGTGGGTGCAGGAGCAGCACGGAAGCAGAACAAGGATAGTGCCAAAAAAAAAAAAAAAGAAAAAAACCCCAAACATTTCAGCACTTCCCAAAGAAGCAGATAAATGCTGGGGAGGAGCACTTCATCCTAGAAAAGGGCATTTACCCCACTGGAATGGGCTATTGCTCCCCTCCAGGCAGAGCTGGTTAATGATAAATTCAGAGCTGCAGATATTGCTACCTGCAGGTGCTCATGTGCAGCTGGTGGTTAGCATAGAATTGTATGAAATGTGTTTTTCTGTGTATAAAAAGCTGTGCCTGACATCTGACAGGCACAAGTCAGGTGTGGGGGGGTAACCACTGATCGATGCCCTGCAGGTGGTGTTTACAGTAAGGGTCTCCAAAGAAAATATTAGAACATTGGAAGTACAGGCATATGATTTATAAATAACTAAATATGCATATATTGGGGGTGCTCACTCAGAATATTTTTACTGATAGAGGTGTGTGATTAAGAAAAATATCTGGAGCCCACTAGTTTACAGACTGGCAAAGGAGATGAGGCAGTAGCCAAGGGGCATCAACATTTGTTAATTTGCTGTGAGGAGTGTTATTGTGGTTAATTCTCAAATTCACGATCCACAGGCAATCTTTGGGCCTGGACCCCGCCTTGGGAAGGAGGAGAGGGTGGTGAGGACACATGGCTCCCCAGATCTCACCGAGCGGCAGGGGAGCGGCTCTGAAGATCAACCGCATCTCCCTGGGTGCAATGGCCCACAGTGCCCCAGTGAGGGAAACACGGAGGGAGTGGGTGGCCTTCATCCCTGTCACCTCACAGGAGCACTCATGGCCCCTGTGTCACGGCCTCACTCCACCCTGGCCTCATGTCACAGCCAGCTGGCAGCATGGTGGCTGGGAGGGGTGGCAGTGCTTCCAGAACCTTCTCCAGGGGCACTGAGGGGAACAGCCACCCCTCAGGGCAGCAGGGTGGCACGCTCCTTCGTCGGGTCCTGTGCCAGCCCTGAGGGGATAACTCTGGCATGGTCACTGCCTGAGCGCCTCAAAGGAGAGAGGGTTAAGATGTCTGTGCGAGGGTTGGCAGGACCCTCCTCGAGGCATATTACTGCCATTTTGAAGGCGTTCGTGATGAGATGGCTCCAGGCACATCATGGCGGATGGGGGAAAGCCCTGCTCCTCAGGCTGGGGGTCTGGGCAGTGTTGGTGGCATCTCTCCTCCCTGGGGCAGGCAGCCATCATCCACCGCCGGGCTATGCTGTCCATGAGATAGTCCGGCCAAGGAAACTGGCCCCCAGGCTGGGAAAAGCTGTGGAGGAAGAAGTGTCCTACGTCCTCAGGGTGGAGGGGGACAACCGCATCATCCACCTCATGCAGAAGAGAGGACTTCTGGTGAAAAACCTGCCAGTCATCACATACAGCCCCAGGGGGACAAGAGTGGTGGAGCAGCCCCATGTCCCTGAGGAGTGCTACTACCTGGGCTATGTGGAGGGCAGCCCTGGCTCTCTTGTCACACTGAGCACCTGCTCGGGTCTGAGGGGGCAGCTGGAAATTGGGAACTTGAGCTATGGCATCGAACCTGTGCCGGGGTCCCTCACCTTCCAGCACCTTCTCTATCGTCGAGAGAAGACCCAGAGCAAGCCCTTGATGTGTGGATTGATGGATGAGGTGATCCAAAACCAACTGGGTGGGATGGGAGCTAAAACAGCCGTAGGAAAGTGTGACTTCTCTCAGAGACTGAAGAATACCATGTATGTTGAGATATTTATCGTGGTGGACCACTATCTGTTTTCCTTCCAAGGAAGCAATGAGACCTCCGTGATCCTTCTGGTTACAGATACGATCAATTTATCCGAAACATACTACTATCCTCTGAAGCTTCGCATCTGCCTGATCGGGCTGGAGATCTGGACACGTAGCAACTTCATCAGGTACAGCCAGGATATAGAAGAAGTTCTTAAAAATTTTAATGACTGGGGAAATAGGGATCTTTCTCAGAGGATGGAATACGACATTGCACATTTATTTACTTACATGGACTTTGGACTAATCGTTGGGCTGGCCTATGTAGGTAGCGTCTGCCACCCTGGTTATCAATCAGGCATTGTATCACATATACGGAGAGATTTCATAACCTTTTCAATTATTTTTACTCATGAGCTGGGTCACAACCTGGGGATGGAGCACGATAAAAAGGAGTGTGTGTGTGGAGAAGCCACCAAGTGCTACATGACAGGAGACTCGCTCGATGGCGCCAAGGCTTTCAGCAACTGCAGCAGGCAGAGCTACTTAGACCTGATCGGTAGAGGGCATGGCGACTGCTTGTGCAACATCCCAGAGCCCCACCAACTCTTCCATTTTAAACATTGTGGCAATAAGGTGATCGATGAGGGAGAGCAGTGTGACTGTGGTGGGTTGCAGGACTGCCGAGGCAATCCCTGCTGTCACCAAAACTGCAGGCTGAAGCCAGGGGCCGTCTGCTCCATTGGGCAATGCTGTCAGAGATGCCGCTTTCGTGCTGCAGGACACAAGTGCAGGTCAGAGGCGGACGAGTGCGACTTGCCTGAATATTGCAATGGGACTTCTGAGTGGTGCCCAGAGGATTTGCACATGCATGATGGGACGCCATGCAGCGATGACAGCTACTGCTACCGTGGGAAATGTGTGACCTATGACAACCTGTGCAGAAAAGTCTTTGGGAAAGAAGCTCGGGGTGCTCCAGAAAGTTGCTTCAAAAAGCAGAACGTGAAAGGGGATCGGTTTGGCAACTGTGGCGGCGATGGGACCAAAGTTGGTTTTGTAGGATGTAAACCCCAAAACGCTCTGTGCGGAAGGCTGCAGTGTGTCAATGTGAAGAGGATACCCGTTCTGGAGGGGTCTGAAACCATCATTCAGATGCCCGGCCCTGAGGATTGGTGCTGGGGCACAGCCTACCATGCCAGCATCGATACACCTGATATTGGAGGAGGGCTTGATGGCACCAGATGTGGGCCAAAAAAGATTTGCATTAACAAGACATGCACAGATGCCATGGTCAGGACGAAGTGCGATGGGAAGATTTTGTGTGGGGGGAAAGGGGTTTGCAACAACCTCGAACACTGCCACTGCGAAGCTGGCTGGGCTCCTCCGGACTGCCAATTCCATGGCCTGGGAGGGAGTGTGGACAGCGGCCCTCCACTGCCTCTCATGATGTCCATGGTGGACGTTGTCCAAAATAAAGTGTTTGGGACAGTATCTGGGATCACAGTTCCCATTGCCCTTGTTCTGATTGCTCTCCTCATTGCTGTAACCAAATACAGAACAGCAATAACTGCGTTTTTCAGTAGAAGTTTAGCCACAGAGAGAAGTGAGACTCCTGCAGATGATGAGCAGAGTATGGAAGAAGAAGATGTTTAAAAAACCATGAAAGCAGTGGGAAACCCACCAGCTGAGGTTTGGAAAGGACTAGAGGCCCCATGGGTACACCCCTGAAGCTGGACTGCTAGACCCAGGAGATTTTCCACAAAGTAATTTACACAATGTAACTGTGTAAACTGTATGAAAGTTAACTACACAAAACGAGTATTTCCTCTTCTTGTATTACCTACTATGTAAATAAAATTGGGTTGGATCCAAAAAGTGAAGCTGTTAGAAAACAGTGTGTAAAAGTTAGAGAGTTGTTTTCAATGCAGCTAAAGATCTGTTTTATTTTCTATAGAACAGTGGGACTTTAGTAAATAATTCACTTGAGCATCTAAAAGATTATAGACAGATTCATGCAAAGCCCTGCTCACCTGGTTCATGAGAGATGCTCCACCAGGTTGAAGCAGCTTATTTTTCTGAGTATTGTAGCTGAGCAGGAGTTAGCATGAAGAACAGAAGGGAAACGTGCAAAAGGTCGAGGCACGGAAGTGAGCGCTGATTTTTTTATGCTACTTTGCAATTTTTCATTCCTTGCAGTTGGCTATTAGTATGATACATGTTCTTATTTTTACAGTGAATTAAAAGTCAGAGATTGAAAAATATTCACCTTTGCTTTACTGTTAATTTGTAATGGCAAATACTTAGAGAAGTAAAACATCCTTTGACCACCTACCCTCAAAGGAGCTGTACCAGACCTCTGAGCTGTTATATACCACTTGCTGCATTTCTAGAGATATTTCCATAAGAAGAAAGTCTGTACTAAAAATTTACCATGTTTAAAGAATCCCTTTATAGTCCATACAAATCTGTAAAATAAATAACTATCTTCACTGAAGTGTCTGTCTCCGACAGATCTGCTCAGGCTCCTCCAGCACTACAGCTAACTTTGCTGCTGGCAAGACAGTTCGCAGCAGACAGCCCGATACCAGGTCTGGCTGACATTGCTAAAACACGACGAGTCCTTGTTAGGACACTGCCTGTTCTCCTTTGACACAGGGATTCATCAAAGCAGGGTGGACGTGGACCCCTCTGCGTCTGGTGTGCTGGCGGGGACCGTGCTGGCGTAGAACTTCTTCTGGGAGCGCAAGAGAGGAGTCTGAGTGTCAACATCCCGGCAGGCGTTGCGCTTGAGGGAGAGGAAGACATGCTGTGTCCAGCCGTACACGATGCAGTTCAGAAGCCCCTGGGAAGCTGCTGTCAGAGCCTGGGAGAGACCACAGGGGAGATCAGGGCTCTCTTGTCAGCCAGCATTGCACAGCACTCTGCAGCTCCCTACCAGGCTGTCAAAGCTGGCACGTTATGCCAAGCCTCCCACTTCCAGCATGATTTTATCTATCTGCATCCCCATGTGATATAGGAATCTTGTGGTTACTTTAATAACCTTTGGTAAATGCTGCCTTGGGCACAGCAAGGACCTGGACAAGTGTTGTTGGAGGAATTGCATTTGGAGACTTTCATGGAAAGGAAAAAAACCTAACTGATTTCTGGGGATCCTTTCTAGTCCTATTTTCTACAGTTTCCATGATGCTGTGATTTTGATTACTGAGACCTTTTCAAGCCTGTGAAAAACAAAAAACAACTAGCAAAGATCTTTGCCAACCAAAGGCATAAATCAGACTTAGGCTCATACAGCAGTGATCTTTGTGGCTAGAAGCATACTTTTTCCAGCAGGGACTAGAAGCGGGCAAACACTAATAGGCCTGTTCAAGCAGAGAAAGCAAAACATAGGAGGTTGCAGAGGAAGACACTTACCTGTAGAATTAAAAGAGCCATGTAGATTTTGCTGTCTGTTGAAACAGTCAGCTTCAGTATTCCAAGGAGGACAGCTGTGAAAGGGATGGAGAAGAGGGTATTGCTTCAACCCCACCTCTTCTGAGTTTCATTGCCAGGCACTATGTCCTAGGGGAATATTGTGAGAGTAACTCAGCTCTCTGCTAACCTGGGGCCCAGCAGCAGAAGAATGCGATGGGGTAAAAAACCACTCGTTGTTCTACCATCTTAATCATGGCCCACTGCTGATCCCCCAGGAATCCTGTGGAGTTTACAAACCTTTTGTACAAACCTCGGGCTTGACTGAGTATAACCTAAAAAAGAACAGGCATACGTCATTGTTTGTACTTTGTGCACATGCTCTGATCTGGCTTGTTCATCTAGGACAGAGTATCCTGTTTCAATTTATCAAACCTTTCCAAGTAACAGTGTGCTCCTCGGGGGAGAGCAGTTGCTTTGTACGTGACCTTTTCTGAACTGAAGACTCTGAATTGATTTGGGCTTTTGTTGATGCATGCGGTAGGTGATCTCTGCTGCCATGCTCTGAGCCTTCTCTACCTATTAAATCCTTTTTGGGATGGGTTGACAGAACACAGGACCCCAGATGGATTTATATGCTGGCACAATGATATTTTTCTCTCCCCTACCGCCCCTTCCAAAAGGGAAGCAGCACCACACAGTTCTTCCCCTGATGTTGCCTGGCCTCTGGTACCATCCAAGCAAAGATGTAAAGATGAAAAGGGGAAAATCTTCTCACACTGATCATCTGTGTGCAAGGACTATGTTTCTTACCAGAATGGCTATGAAGCTGATCAGAAAGGAAACAAGGAAGACCCCAATGCCATAGAAATGCATTGCACGGCAAACGGAGCCACTCAGGGTTTGCGGCTCGTTGGTGGGCATGGCTATTTCTGTGTGCATCAAGAGACATCTGTGGGGAGAAAGGGAAGAGCCTGAGCTCCTGCTGTGACTCATAAGCAGTGGGGTTGTCTCAGAAGATGCGTGAAGCTTACCCATGCTTCTGGCTAAAGTTCTGGTAGCAATTATTGCTGTTGCCCAGGCAAAACACAGGCACCATGAGAAGGAAAGGGATCAGGCTAAGAGAAGAAAGGACAACAGCACAGTTACTAGTTATAGCATTGCACTGCTCCCATCCCCAACCAAACACTGCTTGGTTTTTCTCCTGTCACTATAGAGGCCTTAAAAATTGTTTTTATTGACACTGCTCTGGAAGAGTATTTTATCAGCTTTACTAACTTCTGCACTTTCATTCATGCTGGCAATACATAGGTAAAGGGAGCACTTTCTGAAAAACTACATATAGTTAATATAGTTATAACTAACTTGGTTGGAGAAAGGCCCTTACATCCAAAACCTCTTACTCTGAGTTTGTTAGGTCACTCTGCTGTTACCGACAAGCTTTACAGGTTTTAGTAAAACTTGCTTCAAGGTAAGTAGGAAGCAGAGATCAGCACACTACAGTTTACGAAAACCACACCATTATTCCAGAGAGAATTAAATCTTACCTAGATGAGATCGTTGCTATTCGGCCAATGCAACTCACATAATCTACAACCTGCAAAGTCCAAAAGAGCTTAATTAAATGATCATTTCCGTACAGCCACTGATTCACAGGAACCAGCTCCCAGGGAGCACTTCAGCAGCTGAGGGTTCTTCGAATGCTGATTAATCCCCAGACTAAGCACAAATGTTTGTTTCCACTTTGCACTGAATCAACACTGCCAAGTTCAGCCTGTGCTGATTTGCAACAGAAACAACTGATTCTTACTGCCTTGTTCCCCTTCAAGACTAGAGTATTTGAGAAGGGAACTTGGAACTGGACAAGAGCAGACACTTGAAGAGCTCTCTGGTGTAAATTACTCATTTTTTGTACTGATTATTCACTTAACCTGGCACTGTTCCTCAGAGGCTTTATGTCCTGTGAAGAAATGCAGGCAGTTTGGAGTGTCTTGGTATCTGCTCACCAAGAAATGTACTTTGGCAGCTGGCATCCACACAACAGCTATGACAATACAGCGTGGGCAGAGCTGTAGTGGTGTGGAACTTACGGTAGGTGCTACGTTTTGAATGGGAGTCCAGCAAGAAGGAAACCAGTCCTACAAGCGGATCCAAACCCTATGGGCAAGAGCAACTGAAATATAGACTGATCTGCCCAGCCTGCTGCTCCCAAACCAACACATGAAATATATGGGATACAAAGTTTGCTGTGCCCAGCAAATCTCTGGGGAAGAGAAAGACTATGTAAGGAAATGGGGCTGAGGGGTTCAATGGGAAGAGCTGCATAAGGAATCTGTCATCTTGCAGCAATGCATCAGGAGCAACACACCAGTTACAGCGATGGCAGTGCCTCACTGTTTAGCCAGGTGTGAGGAATGAAACAACTTCAAGGAGAGATTTTGGTCATGTGGTATGTGAAGTGTTTGTTTAGCCTGCAAGGCAGAGAGTATTTTTCTGAGTACTATGTCCTTGTTCCTTGGTTCCCAGCGATTATACCGGTTCCCCAAAGGGCTGTTGTAAAGGCCAGCGATGATGAAGTGAGGACTGGCCACTGTTCACAGAGCCAACTGCTCCTTTTATCACTAGCTCACTTCCGTCACACCTCCTATCTCAAATTCTTACAATACTTACTGATGCTCTCCAACGCTGTATGACACCTGGGAAGGACAGAAATTGTCAGTTCTCAGTTCCAGGCTGTCCAGGCACCCCCTGCTTTCCTGTCCCCGCTGCTGTGCACTGGCAGAAGGCAGTGACAGCAACAAACCAGTTACTCAGCTGGTGCAAACCACTGTTCTTCTAACTGTGGAAGAACTTCACCAATACCCAGTCCTGAGCTTTCTCTGCTCTGAGATGTACACTGCCATTGGCCTTTGTCTGCTTTAGTCTTGCAAGCCCAATCTTCCACTGAGATGCTACAGCAGACCCAGCAGTAACTCTGCTGACCTCAGTGGGCAAGGTTCATCAATTTATACAGCTGTGGGGCAGAAGGGCCTTCAAAGTCCTTGTGGTGAGATATACTGTAATGTATGCACCTCCTAAACCCCACCACAAGCCCACAGTTAGACCTTGGTACCCAACAGCTGTTGCACGTCAGTCCTACTCACCTGGGGGGACATCCTGAGAAGGTTCTGATTGTATTTCATCTTTAGGTCCACATACAGATGCCAGGTATAGTTGACAGTGTATAGAAAAGAGGCCACGTAGAATATCTGAGAAATACAAACAGACAGTATTTTAGTCCTATAATAATAGTTCCTGTAGCACTTTTAGTTCATTGCTGATGAACCCAAAGCCCATGGGCCAGAGGCAGGATGCTAAACAGCATAGTGGACTGCCAAAGGTGAAGGTCCCTGCACAGCCCCTGTGCTCACGTCTACCGGGTTGCAGCGGGACGCCAACTGGGAAGAGCCAGGTAGAGGAGGGGTTCCCACCTTAGACTGCACAAAGACAGCTTTGCTTTGGCCTCAAAAAGGGGGCAGGAGAACTAATGACAGCGGGGCTGTCTTAAAAATACAAATCTTTGTGACTTAGCTCATTTTTTTGACCCAAATCCTGGCAACAAAGGATTCAAAGGCACTTGAACCCTCTCCATGCTGCTACATCCATTAGGAAGCAACACAGATGTGGGACTTTTAGATTTGCTTCTCACATAATGAGCTCACTACATAGTGAATTCACGGAAACAGAAAACAATGGTATATTTAAAGAGGAAAGTGAGGGCAGAGAATATCTGCACTAAGCCTGAGATAATATCCCAAGAGCCCTTTTCTCTCCACGGAAAAAAAAGAGAAAAGAAAAGATACAGAACACTGTTTCCCATGGAATTTCCCAGCCCTTGATTCCAGCTTGAGGTGAGACCAAATACCTAACATCTCCTGTAAAAAAAAAATCAAATCTTTCTTGCATTTCTTTCTGAATCCATGGTTGCTCCAAGGCAAGGCAGTCAAGTATAAACGGTGCTGCTTAATCATACTATATATATGCTGGGTTTGCTACAGGAAACACATGCTTCAGTGGCAAAGAGGAAGGGCTGGACAAGTGATTTTTTCTGTGGATTTGCTATCCTTTGCCAAAGAGGCAAGGAGCACAGGTTTGCCAACCTGGTATCACCTAAGTCCAGGAAAGTAGTCACTAAATAAACTTGGCCTCCTTCACTGAGGTTGCAAATGCTCTTGGCTGATTCTGAAGAGCCTGAGTCCAAGGGGCTGCTACATTGCAGCAGGAACATTACGGTGACTTTCCAGCTCATTAGACAAGGTTTAATGAGCATTTGTTGCCCTTCTTCAATTACTTCCAGGGAAGGTCATCAAAACAGTCCACAAAGATCGTTCTCTTGCACTTCAAAATGCCTTAGAAAGGCTCACAAAATGTCAGCACTGCCTTCTTTTTTGGAAGAGGGAACCAAAAGCCACTTGTGAAGTTGCTAGCAGAAAGCAAAGGGAATTCTGCTCTCTTGAGCCCCAGCTTTGGGGCTGTAGACAGCCCTGCAGTGCTCGCCATGTGGAGATAAAGCAGGAGCTGGAAGACATGAGAGTCCCTCATTATAGCACTTCTGTGGCTCCCCATTGTGCTCACCAGCGTGAGTGGAGCCTGCCAGGACATTATTAGGCCACTGGAACTGAACTGGAAGAAAGTGGGAGAATTGTGCAATTATAACCACAATCTCTATTCTGGACTTTATTATTGTAACGCAAAGGCAAGGCAGGGAGGAGGAAAGAACAAAGTCAAGGAACAGCCGAAGGGAGCAGTATTTACATTTAACATCAACCAAAAGTCTGGGGCTGAAACAGGGAAAGTCCAAGAAACAAAGCACTCTCCTCCTTTACGACACAGTATTGATGTTAGAGGAGTTCCATCCACTGCAGTGTCAGCCCTTGGTGATAAAAGTGATGGTAAACAGGCTGAATAAGGCAAAGTACTGTCCTGCTCCTAAGGCAATCCCTTGAGACAACCACATCACATGGACTGTGGTGTGAGTCTCTCCAAGGGCTGCCATGTGCAAACACCACTGCTGAGCAGTCCTGAGCCCGTCCTCACCCTTGTTGTTCAGTGCATTTTACATTTAGGTGTTTCCGTGCAAAGGAGCCACATGTGTTTATGAGACTCCCAGGAATGCAACACTTGAGAGACTTCTCCGCTTAGCACGGGCAGAATGGGGCCAGGAGACATTTACTCATTTCATTTGGTTACAGATCACTTATGCTCTGCAGAAGCTGCTAGTTAAACCTGTTACTGGCTCCTACTTACGCACAAGGTGTTCCCACCACGCAAGGGCATTGCTGGGGTGTTTAGTAAGGAGGTGTCCTGCACTGTGTCACATGCACCATGCGGGCACGGTTGCTATGGCAAGTGCTCCGTTTGTTTTAATTTCTTCCAGAGCAAACAGCAGCGACAGCTCTTGCCAGACGTAAGCTGGCTCTGCCACCCTGGTAGTCCTCCTGCCGGGGGTGGTCTGCTGGTGGCATGCAGGAGAGAAGCCTGGTGACCCTATGGCTGTGGTCGGGATGCGGCAGGTACCCTGCACACCCCACCACAGCACCCTGACTGTCTGCCGTGGGGCTGAGGCAAAGGCAAATCCTGCAAGGACTCACCCAAGGCCAGCTCTGCCTACCCACGTTGCCTTTCCCAACGTGAAAATAAAGCTCCCACCTTGCCCCCATACCTTGCTGGTGTCCCTGAGAAGCACGGCCACAGGCTGGAAAAGCGAGGGTAGAAAAGAGCCAGAAATGGAGGGGAGCATAGCATGGTCTCAGTGTCTCTGCCGAGAAACGATGGTGCATTGTCTATATCCAACCTACTTCTCTAGCAGTTCAACCTCTCTTCTCCAGGCCATAAAAAGATTACACCAGCATTAAGAGCTGTCCCCCAGGCAAAGCTGCAAGGGAAAAGCTCAGAAGTACCCTCAGCCCCACTTGCTCCTTCCACCTTCTGGCTCTGAAAAGCCTCTCCCAAGCTCTTCTCATTTTCCCCTGTACCATCATCTAAAAAACACCTTTGATATTGTTCTGCGTCATTCCCAAGTGGCCAAGTTACCCACACCCCACTCTTTCCTCTCTTGATGTGAACATACTGCGGTGTTTCCACAGTGGCACAGGGGAGCTAGAGAAACCAGAGATAAGACAGGAGTGGAACAGCTGCTCTCACCATCATGAGTATTACGGTTTTACCCACAAAAACAGCTGTTGAAACAACCCTGGGATGCAGGCACCCATCTCCAGATGCACAACAGCATGAACACTTGCACACCACACAGGCAGCTGCTTCCCTGCCCTCTCCACAGTACATAGAGAGTTTTTCCAGCTTCAGATGCTGCCGCCCAGCAAGGACGTATCAGTTCCCATCTGTGGGTACCACCATGCTCCCAGGGAGCTGCTGGAGCCCACACAACACGCATCAAGGCTCCTGAGAGCCACCTGCTCTTCCCAGCCACGTTTTTGTGGGTCCTTTAAAAGGAAACTTAAGCCCAGAGATCACCGCTTGTGAACCACTGCTCTGGCCCAAGCTTAGCTGTATCCTGCAGAGTTTTTTGAGAGCAGTGATTTGCAAAGCCTAATGCTGAAATGGGAACTTGGTGAGACAAAAGCAAACTGTCAGGAAAATGGTATTTCACTCACTCCACTCCAATTAGTCTCCAGCACACAAAATCAGCTGGAAAGCAGCCAAATCGCTGGGGCACGGGACTGAGCTTGTGCTGACAGAGCAGCTCCTGAGCATCCTTGGGATTGTTTGAGAGAGAATAGGGCCAGGTCAGCAAGAGCAGGGCTGTTTATATGAGTAATGTTGTAAGTCTGAGCTTAAGCAAATCGTAGAATATGTCTGTTCCTGCCCAGGATGGAGGAAGCATGAAGAGGAATAGAAAAGCTGCCGTGTGAGAGGCACAGAGATCATTGTTGGCATGGGCCCAACAGGAAATAGATTAAGACCCATCTACTCACGTTACACAAGCAACCCAAACGCGGCAACCACAAAATCCCATGCTCTCTTTGCCTTCCTCATTGCCTCTCACAAACCAGATGCACCTAAAACCGAGCATCGTTATCTCTGTTTTACACACAAGGAGAAGAGGTAAGTCAAGTCCACATGGGGAGTCTCTGCCAAAGCCTGTCTAGAAGCAGACCCCCACGATCACGCTCTGATCACCACCGAGGCTAATCATGGCAAAGGGTGCACAGTAACAGCATGAATGGTGAGGTCAAGGCTACTCACTTGTGCTGTTGCTTGCAGGTTATAGCAGATGAGATCCTGCTTGGAGGTTGGTGTGCTATAGAGAAGCGCCCCAGCAAGCCAGCACATGCCCAGAAATAGGTCGGAGAGGCTCAGGTAGAAAAGTGGACGAACCTGGGAAAAGTGAAGTTGGTCATCAGGTCTGAGCGATGGTCACAACACTCCCATGACCACCTACAGCAGCAGTTTTAGTCTGTCATCTAAATATGCTTTTGTCCCCCAGCTCTCCTGGTAGGGCAGCTCTCCTCGCACACAAAACCCATGCTGATTCTTGCCCTCAGGAGCTGTTTCAATGCAGATACCCCACTCTAATCACCCTTTCTGCCACTAGCAATGCCCCAGGATCCAAGAGCAGCATCAACTCTTACAGAAAATATTTCAAAGGTCCAGAACATGACGATTTTGCAGAATGGGACAGGTTGGCAGGGAGAAGGGATGTTATTTGTTAAATCAACTGAAAGAGAAATCAAGCTTTTAGTAAACACAAACCCTTCTTCAGGTCTGAAATAACTTGAAACAGACATTTTTCCTACGTGTTTCATGTCATTTCACTTGGTGACTAAGTCTGAATCTATTTTACACGCCAGATTAATTTTCACTATGAGAGCTGCTAGTCTCTCTGCTGCACACTGCATCTTGCTGGAACAGAGTCGCGTCTCCTCTAATGGCAGTTTCCAGCCCATTTCCAGTTTGCATGTACCGGCCAAAAGGACTGTAAACACTGCAGGAAAACATTTGTGCAAAATTCTGGCCAGCATTTTTGTTGTTAGTGGGAGAGCCGACACTCTGGAAAAGCAGCCTAATTATCTAGATTCTTAATTGCAGTCTTTGGTACCTAATTTTCAACATCCTGGAGAGAAAATGATGACTTTTTTTTTTCTTTCCCTACAGGAAATTATAATGCTAAACACAGCACGGAAACATTTCATGAGACCTTGATTTTAAGATTTTTTTCATGGAACTGAGCTTTTGGTGAGATTTGCCTCAATGTTGTCCTTTAAGTAAATGTTTGCCACCTATCACATTGTGTTATACTTGTCTTGTTTCCGTGAGCAACGAGTAAGAGCTTAGTAAGATTGATAAGATCTTGGTAGATCTGATCAAACCAGATCTGTCCTTATGGCATAGTTTGAGGGAGATCTGTCTGGCATCTTCCTGATCGCCACACTGCCATGCAGCGGCATGGCAGGTCCTCTACCTCCTGCAGGATTTGTCTCCTCAAACATTCTTGTCTCTCCAGTTCTGTATTTGTACCATCCAACCCAACAACCCGGTAAATCAAACTGCTGTTGCTAACTAAATATCTGGAGCTAGTTTGTATGTCATTGTGTTTACGAATGTCTTTTTTAAGCAGGCTTTTCCTTGCTGGTGCAGAACTGAAGCCCCAGCAGGCAGTCATATGCATGACAGGCTGGGGACACCATCCAGTTCGTGAGCACAGTGGGTTAAAACCAAGCAGCTCTAGAATAACCAAAGAAGCAACTTCTGCAATCGAACAGGTGACCCCTTTCTCTAACAAGAAGTGTCCTTGGAGTGAGGCACCACTGTTTGGTTGAGGAGCTATTTTGGCACAGACCTAAATAAAGAAGTAGGTGACATAGTGGTAAGTGAAAGGCAGCATGGTTCTTCCTTGCAAAAGGGAAAAGAAAAAAAACAAATGGTATTTATAAAATAGAGGAAGGGAATGTAAAGACATAATGATTCAGATGAGCTGCCAGGCTGGAGCATACATGTTGATTTAGCTCTGTCTGGCCATTGCCCAGGGACATCTGCCTGCACAGAACCTGTTGACATGACAGAGGAAAGTCTTTGTTCGTTGCTTGCCATCATCTCTCTTCTGAATGATTTAGCTTAGGCTGAAGAGTTTTATTGACCCCGTAGAGACAGAAAACAAGCTTCAAGAATGCAATATTTAATTTCTTAGGCTGGGGGCAGGAGGGGAAGTGTTTATAACATTGTTCTCCTCCCAACCTCCAGAGCTGTTTATTTTTAAACATTTTACCCTAGAGCCTCATGACTCAAGGAATAAGCTGTTTGTGGCAAGCTTTGATATGGATCTCTTCCAGCCCCTTTGTTTACAAATTTTCACATAAGACCAGAAACATGGGGACAAGGCAATGGGGAAGTTACTGAAGATTTTGCCACTGTTGAAACACCAGCAACAGATCTCCCCTGGCAGCAGAACAAGAGCCTGGAAACCTCATGCAGACAAGTCATTCCAGCTGGTATCTGTCCCTCCTATCCGGATCTGCAGAAATAATCTGAGAAGAAACATCTGGACTCCCTCGAGCAGGAACGGTCCATCTGAGACTGGGAGCCATGTGTGGCTCACAAGCAGCTAGAGTGCAGCTCCCAAGCCACTGTCACATCATATGACTAATAGCACAAGGGCTCCTGAGTAATGCAGGCTTCTAGCCATGGAAGCAAACGGGCCGAGGCTGCTGAGTCACACTGGGACAACTGCCAAACCCAGCTCCATACCATATCAGAGTGGAGGACCCCAGGAGAGAACCACATCTGGAGCTCTCCAGGTGCAGGGGATGTGGGAGAGGGAGCCTTTGATATGCACCTTGTGCAGGACAAGCTCAGGCAAGTTTTCTATCCCAGCACTAAGGTGAAGTCCCAGCCTTCATTCCTCCCTGGGAATGCATGGAGATCTCTGCAGCTCATTCTCAATGTGCTGGGCAGAGCATTTCCAGGAGGCTGGCTGCCTGGGAGCTAGACTACCCTGCATGTTTTAAGAGGTGCAGATTTGCCCTGCAAACCTGGACTCATGTTCTCCTCCCCACCCTGCTTCATCCAACGATGTGTCAGTTGTTAGCTTGACTGCATGCCTTCCTTCTCTGGGGATAACTCACTGCATTCCCTGGAAGCCCTGTTCTCTGGGCTGCAGATCAAACCCATGATGTACAAAGAACACTGAAGATGAGGGAAGTACAAATACAGCTTTGTTACAACATAGCTGCCAGCTCTACTGTCCTACTGAGCTTAGCAGTAACCTATTATCTGCGTGGTCCACAGACTGGGCTGCCAGACATCTGCAAATCCTGGACAATGAACCCCAGCTTCACACACATCAGCTCTGTGCACTGCCTCTGGTAAGTCCTGGGCAGACAGATGGACTGTGTGTGGACAGCAAAAGCGTGACAGGCTTGGGATGGAGGTCTGAGGTTAATGTGCATGTGCCAGCCACCTGCTCAGCGTGTCCAATATATATATATATATCCCAGACACACGCGGTTCCCTGCACACACGACCTGCACGTGTGATGCACTCGGGACGTGCCAGGCGCTGCATTCATGTCAGATCTGCAGGGCCTGTATGGACAGTCCCACCCCAAGGGATGTTTGTACCCGAGTCCCACTGCTTCAGCATTAAAAATGTTTGTGGCTCCTGCGTGTGGCCAGGGTGAATCTTCCCTGCTGTGGAGTCCAGCACAACAAACTGCTTTTCAGCCTGGCCTCTTTTTGTCTGAAATTTGCAGGACCTCCAAGTTGCATTAGTTTTAATAGCTCACCTGCCTGGAAAAAATACTCAGGGATGCCCAAAGACTTACACCTGTAAATACATTTCCTGCAGGGGCATTGCCAATTTGCACTTCAGCAGCTTTGTACACAGCTCCTCAGCCTTCCAGGCATTTTGCCCCACAGAGGAGGACACACTAACAAATCCCTGTTCCCAGGAATGACCGGAGGACTTTCCCGGAGCAGCAGAAAGTGTGGGGCTAAAGAACCTGCTTCTCTCTGCGTGGGTACAGTTCAAGGTTAATTCCTTCAACTCCTATCACAGACGAAGGGCCAAATTCTTGGCAAGTCCCTTGCCTCCCAGCTGTTAAACAAGATTTAACCACATAAGCCTGAGATCTGCAGTTGCTCCTAGCAGAGTGCCTGACCCAGGTGGGTCTTTGCTACACGCATGACCCATCTGCAAAGTACCGACACCTCGACTTAGGGAGAGAAAAGGAGGCTCAGACCTTACCTCGGGGGACCGCACTGCATTTTGAAAGATGGCGTAGGCAATAATTGAGCTGGAACCTATAACACTGAGAAAACAAAGCACAGATTGGAACAGGAGCATGTCTGCCTCGCTGGGATAAGCGATTTCTCTTTTTTTTCTGGAGAAAAGCGTCGTTGCAATAGGAACTCCATCCCGGGAATGCGGGTTTCGCAGTGCGCTGTACCTGAGCATGGCCATGGTGAACTGGATCCACTGGAGAGCCGAGTAGACCTGGGGAGAAGGACGGGTGCCGGCTCAGCACGACACGGCCCCACAGACACGCCAACCGCTCTGCGGGCAGCCACGCACCGGGGAACCGCCGACCGGGGTCGGGGGGGGCTCGGGCCGGGGGGGGGGGCTCGGGCCGGGGGCAGGTCCCAGCCCGCCGGCCCCGGCGAGCAGCGGGCAGAGCGCGGAGAGGGACGCGGGGCAGGGGAAGGGCCGGCCGGGGCAGGCGGAGGAGGGGATGGGGGAGAAGGGGCGCGCACGGTGGGGACGGGCAGGGTCCCGGGAATGGGGACAGCGGCTTCCCCCGGGAGACCCGGTACCTGCGGGGCTCGCTCACCTCCTGCCAACCCCCGTCTAACCGGGCCGCCTCAGCCGGGAGGGCCATGGGTACCCGCCGCCGTCGCCGACC